TGGTGGCACAATACTGTGCGCAAATTCCCCATTCCTTTACTCCACTTGTGAAATGCTTTGAGACATCTCAATGACTGGATAAGAAATGATACTAAATGCAAGGATTATTATTGTTATTATTATATGTTGGCAGCAGCCAATTTGTCCCACTAATAGTCATGGCTGAATTATCTGTAAGCTTAAGTGGCTTTACTCATCTTTATCCTAAGTGAATACCTGATTGTCGGCCAGGACACCAGGCAAGAGGAACTTCCTTCTCTTTTTAAATAGCGGCAAGGGATCTTTAACTTGAATCTCTTTGAACAGACAGATCGCACCCTCCGCCCCACCAGCGGAGATCGCGTTTTCAGCCCCTACGCCCCCAAAACTCTGAAACACTCTCCCTCAATCCCTCCGCCTTGCCCCCTCTCTCCCCTCTTTCAAGTCCTGCCTGAAAACTTTCCTCTTCGACTGTGTTTACAGCCAATGCACCCCTCCCCCTGGCTCGGAGTCAGCGCTCTGAGAAGCTGCCCTGCATGGAGGGCGCTACATAAGTGCAAGTTGTTGTTGTATGGGGAGCTTGGATTAACACCTCATCTGAAGGACGGTAATCTGCCAAGGCAAAGCTCCCTCCAGCTTCTGCCCAGAGCAAGTTCAAACCCTCCGACGTGGAAGCTAGACAAATATAAGGAGGATACAGCAGGAGGTTGTTTGGACATTTGTTTGCATCCTGGTGTCCAACCGCTCCTCCAAGAAACCGTCAGTTATAATCCCAATTTCCTGCTCTCTCCCTCTGTCCCCTCCAATACCCGGACTCTGCACGTGCTCCAGACCTTGACAGCAATCTCCCAAGCGAAAGCCAAAACAACTCCGAGAGGAGGATGATTTCAAACTCGGAGCTCGCTCGGCTGACCTTGAGAAGGTTTAGGAGCTGCTTGCAATGTTGCTTTGTAAAGTGAAGCCAGGGTTTGGCAGGACAATCAACCTTCCACAGCTGGTCTGTCTTTCTCTCCATGTCCCTTTCGACATTGTTTTTCTTTCTGTCTAACCGCAAGGCTTCCAAGCTCAAATACCTCCCAGCATCAGTTCTCAACACCATTTTGTTTCCACGTCTTAGGTCTTGGAGTTCTGAAAAATTCTTTGAATTACGATTATTAATAATAATAACAATGAATAATAAAATTATCCTCGCATTTGATATAGCGCCCTCTCACATCATCGAGATGGCTCAAAGCTCTTCACGGCATATACTGTAGAGTGGATTGACTGTGTATTTTGTGGACAAAATGCGGCAGCCAATTTGCAAAGGAATCTAACGGCCATGAAGTGAGTGACCAGTTTTATCTGGGGGATTTTCAGCCAGGACACTGGAAGAGAACCTCTCTACTCTTTCCCATCAGTGAAATGGGATCTTTAACATCCACCTGAACAGACACATGGGAACTCAGGTTCATATCTCATCCAAAGGTCAATATGGCACATCCCCAGCATTGCATTGGAGTGACAGAAGAGTCTATGTGATTCTGAGTCCTGACGTGAGGTTTGAACCAACAATCTCTGACTCAGAGGCAAGAGTAATTTGGAAGCCGGTTCATTTTTGGTCAACAAGACAGAGGCTCTCCTGATTGTCTCCAGTCAGTGTCTCCACATCTCAGATCCTGACAGCATCACAATCCATCTTACTAAGCCAGTCCGGAACTTTGGCATCTTGTTTGACCCTCCACTATCCTTTCTACTCCACATCTGTGCCATGACCAGCTCTGCCTTCCCCCACCTCCGCAACATCGCCCAACTCCACACTGTCTCACACCGCAGGCTGCCGAGACCCTCAGACACACATTCATAACATCCGGGTTTGACTATACAAACTCACTGCTTGTCGGCCTCCCCAACTCCTCCCTCCACAGGCTGCAGATCATCCAGAACTCTGCAGCTTGTGTCCTTTCCCTCACCAGGCTCCATGACCCTATCACCCCATCCTTGCCCGACTCCACTGGCTTCCCATTACTCAGAAGATACAGTTCAAGATCCTGGTCCTCACCTTCAAAGCTCTCCATGGCCTTTCTCCCCCCTACCTCTGTGACCTCCTAACCCCCTACCAACCTGCCTGCTCCCTCTGCTCAGTAGGGAGCCTGCTTCCAGCCTGCTTCACGTCCCCCGTCTCGCCCATCTCACCATTGGCGGGTGGGCCTTCAGCCACTCTGTCCCCACCCTCTGGAACTCCATTTCGCAGTACTTCCACCTTGCCCCTTCCTTTGGCTCCTTCAAGACCCATCTTAAGACCCTCCTCTTCAACTGTGCCTTTGATCTCCCTGCTTCCCCTTCTGCCCTCCACCTCCATGTTTGTATGTTCTCTTCAGCATTGACCTATCTGTACATCTCCTATGGTCCTACTCTGCCATTCTCAACCTCCGCTCTGCCAATTCAGTCCTGCTCCATGCTTTCCCCTCCACGCACACTCCCAACCCACCTGCCTGTTCTGCCTGACCATTGAGCTCTCAATCAATTTCCCCCCACTGCCTCCCTCCCCAAATCTCTAGAACTCGAGCTCCCCAAATCGTTCAACTTCCATTCTGCTTCCAAAACCTGTCCTTTTAAAAAAAATCTTTTTGACTGCGCCTTTGGCCACTACCCATCTCGGACCTGGCTCGAGCTCCCACTCCATCTCTGTTAAAGAGCTTTGAGATGTTTAGCCTTTAAAACATCTTGCATTTATCCAGAAAGTTGCTGGATAAATGCAAAATGTTTTAAAGGCTAAACCTCAGAATCTGCGTGTTCCTCAGGATTAAGAACTCTGGCTGATTCCCCCCACACACCCTCCCCGCTCCCCAGTTCCATGGCGTTGGTTGCCCTCCGGTTACCCCCACCCAAGTGACCATTGTTCGTGGATGTGCCTTGGCAGTGACTTGTGTCAGCTCACTCCACCGTAAAGAATGGCACATCCATGAGCCTGACTTCTGACGCTCAAGTGCAATGTTGCTGCATGTGTATTGATTGGAATGGAATGTGCACTCTCTCCCTAGAGGGATGCACCCTGCTTACCTAATTCCGGAAAGTATTCAGCACAGGTTGGCAAGAGCTCAGGCTTGGGGACTGCATAATGTGCGTTAGGGTAACCACTGGAGTCGAACCAACTAAAACCACATAGCTTGCTATTGATAGCACTGTCTGGCAAGCTTTCCCACTGCTTGTACAGCTAGGACCACCCTTCCAAGTCCTGCCAATGAGTCATTCCACCTCATTAGCAGTGCCCTGGGATACTGTGGACCCACCTGGCTAAGGAACCAGCCTAGAGACCATCACAGAGTATTGGCTCGATTTTGACATTTCGTTGCCAAACATTTCTCCTTGGAGCCAATTCAGTACCAAGGAGACCTTGCTTACCTTTCCACCCCCAGTCACTAGTTGGTCATTTGACATCTGACAAGCATGGATTTGAGCCCTTGCCAGGTGGATTGTAGGTAGTAAGGAGGGAGGGAGTAAGGCATATTTGGATACACTCTCACAAATTCACTTCATGGGCTCCAATCTTGTGTAATTTTCACATAAGTACGGAAATTTGTCTGGAATGAAATGCATGCTCTCTCTATCTCTCTCTGTCTTCCCCTAAGGCGCACACTCTGTAAATTAGTAGGCAAGGGTTGGTAAGAGCCAAGGCCTGGGAATCCCAGAGTTTGTGTTTGGGGTAATTGTCGGAGTCTAGCTAGGCAGATCCGCATAGCTTGCCATTGATACCATGTTTGGAAAGCTTTCCACTGTTATGTCCAGTTAGTACCATCTTACTCCTTGGGGTTATGGCTTGCAAAAAGCAGAAGAGCCAAGTGGGAAAAATCTGTGACCTCATGGTAATTACTGGGAAGTGTAGTGGTTATGTAAAGCCGAACGGGACAGCCAATTTGCCCACAGCGATCTCCTACAAACAGCCGTGAAGTGAATGACCAATTTTAATCGAGGGAAGTGTTGGCTGGGACACTTGGAGAGAGAGAAATTTCCATCTGTTTTTGATTGGTGCCACAGGATCTTTACCAGAATGTCAGCCTGGCTCAGTTGGTAGTATTTTTGCCACTGAGTCAGAAAGTTGTGGGCTCAAGCCCCATGTTGGGACTTGGAATCACATAGGTTAAGATGGCACCCCAATGGAGAGCTGGGAGTGCATTGCATTATCAGAGGTGCCGTCCTTAGGATGAGCCGTTAAACCTGTTCAGGTGGATGTTAAATATCCTGTGCTGCTGCTCGAAAAAAAGTTTCTCTCTCCCGGTGTCCTGGCCAATAATTCTCCAAATAAAATAGGTCACTCATTCCATGCATGGCTGTTTGTGGGACATTGCTGTGCGCAAACTGGCTGCTGCATTTCGCCCACAAAATACACAATCAATCTACTTTACAGTGTGTTCTGCAAAATTTGAGATATGTCGACAACGTGATAAGGCACTTTATCAAATGCAAGGATTATTATTACACAGGTTTTTTAACAACCATCTGAACAGGCAGTTGGGAGATCAGTTTAATGTCTCCTGTGATGAATGGAAAGTCTGACTATGCAGGTTTTTCTCCTCAAGGTTTCCGATGTGATAGATAGATGAGCACAATGTTTCCAATGTGGGGGTTGTGGGTGGGTGGGCTTGAATCCAGAGGAGAAAGTGCTGTCAACTGAGACAGACCAATCATAGGTCCTGGTCAAGATCTCAGTGAGAGTGGGGGAGGAAAGGGGGGGAAGGAGGAAGGGGAGAATAGGGCGAGGGGAACATAAGATCATAAGAATTTGCGAGGCAGAAGAAGACCAAGGTCCATCAAGCTCGCCTTCCACTATCCTAGCAGTCGTATGACATGTCGTGTCCCAAACTTTACATCAATAAGAACATAAGGATTTGCCAAGAGAGGGAAGAGGGGAATGAAGGAAGGAGGAGAGAGGGAGAGAAGCGGAGGAAGGGAACAAGGGGAGGAAGGGAGAAGAGAGGGAGAGACGGAGGGAGGGAAGAGAGATATGTAAGCAAAGGGCCATAAAAACAACTCACTCTTCATTTAATTTCAGTAGTTTTATTGAAAAATGTCTCATTTGTTTCAGAAATAAATAAGAAAATGAGGCTGTGAAATTCACCATCTGCAGTTACAAATACAAAGCAGCGATTCCTATCTCCATAGTCTTGCAAACAGATTCCAACTACGTTTTTTTTAGTTTCTGAAAACACTATTGTCCTGGCAAAACCTCCATAATAAATGTACATCACAGACATGCAAATTTCACCCTTTTTCTCGTGACAAAAATCAAGATGAACAGCCCGTACAACGTTAAGCTTCGGAAGGATATTTGAGGTCTCGGTCCCGAATTTTTTTTGCCGAAAAAAAAGTCAACGGAAAGGAAACCCAGTGAAAGATTGAAGCGAACTTTTAACGTGTGCAGTCTGCTCAGCACAAGGGTGTCAGGATGGATCCTCAGTTGAGTGTGTGACACCTAATGCTTGATTTAACCAGCTGATGCATTTTGTAAATTAATGTAATATACCCTTATAAAGTTATAAACTGCAAAAAAAAATACAAGTTCAAAGCTATAATAATAATCACAATGATGAAGTCAGGAAGCTTTTTTTGGTCTCTATCTCTTTTTATATATAATTACGGTATTAAATAATACATGTATTAAGGGCGTGAAGCTAGGTTGAGATTGGTGTGAAGGAAGTTATTTGTGTTTGGAGGGGGAAGGTTGCCCTGCATTGAGGGGAAAGGAGGGTCTGTGCATGTGTTGGGGAGAGGATGAGAGAGAGAAGGTGTTTAACATTGAGGTGGGAACAAGTGTGTGGCTGTATCCATTTTCCTTGTCGTGTTTGTGTTAGTTTTTCACAGAGAGATTTCGATTGTAGGGAGAGGTNAAAAATAAGCCCGAACCTCGTGGGTTCATTTCTTCCCTTCTCCACGTTCGATTGCCAATATCTTTGTGGCTCCCCTTGGAGATGGCCAGCGTGTATCAGAGGCTCGGGCAGGAAGAAAATTGGGTGAGGAAAATGGACAGGGTGGGAGAGGAGAATGAGAGAGATTGCCAGATTCTGAAGAATTTTGGGGGGCTTTATTTGTTTTACATTCCTACATTCTCAAGTGCTCAACCCCCCATCCTGTTTGGGTTTTAAAAGGAAACACGAGCTTTGAGCTGAAGGGATGAGTGGGTTTGATGGAGGTAAAGTGGGGAGAGAGAAGGGGGAACGAGCAGGGTAAGGAAGCGTGAGGGGACAGGGGATGTGAAGGGCACGACTGTAGCAGACATCACACATACTTTACAAACAAGAGGAAGGGAGTGGATGCAAGGAGGGTGTGTAGGAGGTTAGGATGCAGGGACTTGGAACAGCTCAGTGCTTTGAAGGGAGGATGTTAGGGTTGAAGGTTCAGGAAGTATGAGATCAAATGGACCGAAGGATCTCTTTCATCCAAACCCACTCGACCCCTCCTTTTGTGATGAGGGTGTTTGACAAAGTGAATAAGGAGTAACTACTTCCACCGGTTGGAGAGTTGATAACTTGTGGTCATCAATTTAGGGTATTTACACAAAAAAGGGAAAGGTTAGAATTTTCTTTTCCACGCACATACACACACGCATGCACATAAACACACACTTGCAAACGCATGAATGCACACAGATGTGGAACTCTTAACCTCCTCCACCCCTCACACAAAAAACACTGGATAGAAGCAGAATGTGTAATGGTTTTTCAAAGGGAATTGGACGAATATTGGAAAAGAGAAAAAAATATGGAAAGTGTTTGCGAAGAGGGAGATAGAGAAGTGGGGAAAGCAATGAAAGGAATGACTCTTACAGACTCTCATGGGAGCGATGGGCCAAATGGCCTCACTTTGTTATGGAATAAAGGGTGTTGGGTATAAGCATGAGCGCAGTGAGAGGTCTAGAACTAAGAGGTTTAAAGCATATGTGGGTCTGGAAGTGTAGAGGGTTATAACTCGACTCCCATTTTATATCTCCCTCTGTTGTTCTCATTATTATCATCACTGGTGTGATTATTGCTGCTGATGGTATGAGTGGGTGTGTGTGTGTGGAATTGGTACCCGATCTTCTCAGGGTTGGCCGCGGACAATCCCGGGCGACTGTATCTCAGTTTCTGAACCTCCGTGCTCCTCTCTCTCTATGGGCACAACGTACGTGTCGGGCTCGGGCTGGTAGGGTCCGCTTTCGAACGGTCCTGGTTTAAAAATACGGGTCCAGATCATAGATAGAGCGTCAGAATGAAAGCGGGTGTCTGTCCTCTGCGGTCAACACACACTTCACCGTTAGGCACAAACCCAGTGCATGTTTACATACAACACATGACATTTTTGCACACTCGTGTCTTATACATGAACATAAACGCAAACCTTTGTATGTTAGATGATACATATACATGCATTTTGAAAGAACATTTTGTTGTCCAACAGAATAACAAGAGGAGGAGGAGGAGGTGGGGGGGGGGAGGGGGTTAATTACATTTTGTGGTTTCTACTTTTTTTTTGGGGGGTGAAGCAATAAGTGTTGGGGTGGGGGCTATTAAAGATGTTACAATGATTGTTGAACACACAGCATAGGCTGAAATTCCCAACAGTTAATCGAGGGTTACCAGAAAGTGGAACACTGCCACAAGGGGCTGCGGAGGCTGAGATCAGAACAACATTTAAAAGAGAGAAACATGCAGAAAATAAAAATGACGGGGCGGGGGGGGGGGGGGGGCAAGTGGGGTTGGGGCGGGAAAAGAGTAGGTGAATGGGATTAAAGTGGAGAGCTCCAGTGGGGGAGCGAGCACCGGCACGGACACGATGGGGGGAAAAGAGCAGGGAATGGGATTTGATGAGATTACTGCAATGAGGGCAGTGAACAGCCTCCTCCTGTGCTATAAATTGTGATTTTCCGTCGCTAAGCACTGCGAGACACTGTTACAGACATCACTATAGAAACACAACAACCAACACCCACACCTCGGACTCTTTACCACCCACCCTCAACCAACAGAACGAATCTTAAGAATTATTTTCTGTATATATAAACACAAAAACAAGCAACGAATTAAAAAAAAAACAACACACAACGGTTTGGATACACGACATCGCAAGCCTCTTTTCTTAACCCTCGCCCCTCTCGCCTTCTCTCTCTTCTCCCCCAACAAGACAAGTTTGTAAAACGAATAGGTTTTCGCGGGACGTGTTCCGGGGGAAAGATTTGGAAAAAGGTTACTTACAGTCACAGAGCAAGCATGTCAAGCAGAAGCGATTTTTGTTTTGTCGGGTTTAATGGCTGTTATAGCGTGTGGGTTGTGTCTCCCAACAAAGTGATCAATTGGCACGGTTAGGTATTTACAGCAAAAAATAATAATAATATACCCAAACATTAATCCTTGCATCACCAGGTTTACAAATACTTGTTCTGGGGGTGGGTTGGGGGCTTGTGGTAGTCAAGAGGGAGGGGTGGGTGGGTGGTGGGTGGGTACAGAGAGAGGGAATGAAGCTGTTATGACCTCTCTAAGAAGCACGTTTTTTTTAAACCTCATCTGTCTGGGGTTGAGCTTTGGTGAGATGGTTGTGGGAGTTGTTTTGTTGGGGAAGGGGGAAGTTTGTTGTGGGGGTGGGGAGAGTTTGTTGATTTTTTGTGCTTCAAGACACAAGAAAGACTTAAATAAGGTTGATTTCCATTTGCTATAAGACAAACGTCAAGCTCAATTCTCAGTTTGTGTGTGTGTGTGTCTCTCCTTATGAAGGTCTCCTGGGTCAAGATTGCTTCCTTAAATCAAGATCCCGGCTGTTTTTTTGGGGTTCCATAATAGGCTCAATTCCTATTAAGCTTCTGAATAAATATTTGAGGGTCACAGGTCACAGAACTCTTTTCAGGTATTTTCTAAGCACCTCGAACACCCTAGTAAAAATTTATCCGGAACCTGAAACAGTTTAAGAACCATGTTAGTTTTTGTGTACGTTCTATTGCTTTTTTTTCTATCCCAGCATTTATTTTCTTTCTTTCTTTCTTTCTTTCTTCTCTCTCTCTCTCTCTCTCTCTCTTTCTCACTCCCAATGGGGAAATTTGCAACCTGGGTTGTGTTAAGTGCTCTTCGGTCTTGAGAGAAGACAACTTGGAGGGAACCTCATAACAAAAGCGTATAAAATGTTAAATGGGATTGAATTAGTAAACTTAGATCAATACTTTACAATGGAACGAAAGGACACAGGTTTAGAGGTGTAAAGGGATAGAGACCAGGAAGTATTCCTTTACTCAGAGGGTAATTAATGAGTGGGACAGGGTTACCAGGAAGGGTGGTTGAGGCCAGCACATTGGAACTCATTTAAAAAGCAGCTCGATGCTGCGATAAGAGGATGGTAGGGTGGGTGTTCTGGAGGAATGAGATCAGATGGGCCAAAGTGCCTTCTTCATCCAAACTAATCTTGAGATTTAACTCAAGCGATCAGCTAATTGGAATAACCACCATCGTCCCTCTCCCCTTTCTTTTCTCTCCCTCCAATTCCACCACAATCTTGCTAACCAGCAAATTCAACGTGGGCTAACTACACGGGCTTAACCACTCTTACTGAACCGAGAGGAGGGGATGAGGTGGGGAGTCACGTCTATGGAGTGGGGCCGATGCGTTTGGGTATCAGTGGGACAGATTTTCAGCTGTTAGCACAACCCGGGTCATAATATTTACCCCCGCCCCATCCGCGAGTTATCATTCAGAACGGAGAAGAAACATTTTGTTTTGAAAAAGAAAAGATAATAACGTTATCACAAAAATACAATAGTTTGAATTTTTCGTTATTATGAAATTGGGCATAATATTTGCGGCACTGCTTACTTAACACTGGCGTAAACCCACCCAGGGGCAAAACACTCCCCCCCTTCTAACTCTCCTTCCTCCCTCAGTGAGTGGATGCTTCCATTTCACTTCCTAGTTGGTGTCGCCATTTTTTGTTCGCAAACAAGGGCAAGAGTTTTTTTTTCTATTTTGAATTCAGCCTTAAATTGGACACTTTGCTATCGAAATAAATCAATGGCGTCCATTGGGACCCGGAAGGAAGCGGAGACTGACCCTCCTTGAAGGAGAGGGGAGTGTAGTATCCTGGCAGCCAGTGGGTTAACACCGGCGCTAAGCAAAGAACGCCGCAAATTCAACCCCAAATATTTTATTTGTTAAGCCTAAATGCTTTTTATTGGGTTCTCCGAAAGAGACCCTGACTGATTAGGTTGAACATCCATCACCTTATCGAATGTTACAATTAAACACTGTGTATCTGGTGTGGTTTTAGGGTTTTAGTTTTTTTTTAAAAAAAGAGAAAATATTAAGCCTCTGACAGCAATTTATTTTGCCGTCGGAAGCCTTTTCATCTGCCTACCGTCTGGAGCTTTCCAGGAAGTTCTTTTTAATCTCATTTATTTTATTTCCGTCTTTGAAGCTCTCGAACAGAACATTTCTATTTTTTTTTACAAAAAAACAAAGTGTTTATCGGGAGGGAGTCTGGAGACGGACTTTAGTGTTTAGGGATTTATCGACTTGTTTTATTTTGCTGTTCTGTCCCATCTCGGTCAGGTCGGAGATTGATCGGTTGTGTGTGTGGGGGGGAAGGGGGAAAACAGGAGGGAGGAACGGAGGGGGAGGGGGGAGTAGGGGAGTGGAGAAGGAAGGGGAAGGGAAGGGGGATTGAGGGAATGGGAAGGAAAGGGGGAGTGAGGGAGGGGAGAGGGGATATCGTGAGAGTCAGGGGCGGGTGTAGACATATGCAAATAGAGTATGTGGGGGCAGATCCTGTCATGGGGTGCTGATGCGTTTATTAAGTGAATTATATTGTTGTTTAAATGGGATTTTACAAGATTTATCAGTGTTATTGTTCCACCTAATTCCCTCCCTCCCTCCTCCCCACCTTAATGTTTCCCACCCCCTTCTCCGTGTGGGTAAGACAGCACTGAACTCGGGACAGGCCACAGGTTGACAGGACATGAATCCCCATTCTGTGCTGAGGTTATCAGATCTCAGGCGTAGATCATAAAATAATAATCCTTGCACTTGATATAGCGCATGTCTTCGAAACATCTCAAAGCGCTTCACAGATTATACTTTAAACTCAATTGACTGTATCTTTGGTGGGCAAAACGCAGCATCCAAATGCGCACAGCAGTGTCCCACAAACAGTCGTGGACTGAGTGAACAAATTATTATTATAATTTATTTTAAGGGATTATTACCCCCGGAAAGCGATCTGCCAATCGACTAACAACTGGGTTTCTACTTACTGCTCAGTAAACAGAGGCGTGTGGAGTAAGCAAACAGATTTTGCCCTGCCCATTAATCGAACCCGGGACCTCTTGCTTACGAGGCGAGTGTGCTAACCAATACGCTACAGGACTCCACCTAAGCCCTAATGCCTGAATACTTCCCCCAAACTCAGCACAGGTGGGGGATTCGAACCTAAGGCTTTGCTGTCTGTTCCTGCCCAGCCTTTCACCCACCAGAGACCATCTCTGACTGAATACATTGGAAGTTTCCATCAGGGCAAAGGGAAGGAGCATGTGGTGGAGGGTGGGGGAGGGGGCAAGAGAGAATAAAATCCCACCTCCCCAGGAATATGCTTAGCTCCGTTGGCAGGAGCTGTGCCGGTCTCTTGCAGGCCAATGCGGCTGGTTTTCATGCAAGTGCAGATGATGAAAACAAAGGGGCAGAATGGCCGATTGACCATTCTCCAGTTTACACTCTGGTATAAACTCTCTATTCCACTACTGAGCGGTTAGTCTACAGTATTAAACCGGAAGCTCATTAGTTTTTAATAGTTTTTAGGTTAATTATTGGGTTAAGAACTTAAAAGTACATATTAACCTGTGGCGTTAATCATAAAAACATTTTTTAAATCAAAGTTGAGGGGTGAGGGAGCAAACAACTGTGGCCGTTTATATTCACGAGCGAAAAGAGTGTTAAAGAAGCTAAAGGTCACCAAGGTGGTCTTGGAGAATGAGAACACCGAGAGGACCACCCAGGGGGGTGGGGGTGGGGGGGGTATGAGGAACATCATGGTTCGATGTCAGAACTGTCGCCATTGATCGCCAACTGTGATCGATCATTGATCAGTCCGCCTTAAGATCGTCTTCACTTATCGACAGGTTTGCCACTAACAGCCCCCTCCCTCTCCACCCGTATGGTGGGGAAAAGAGCGGGGGCTGAGATTAGAATGGATGGCTTCATTGAGGGGGACTGAATGGGGGGGCTGGGGAGGAGGGGCCTGTACCGAGGGCTTTCGCAGAGAGCGGGTGCACACTTCATAGAGCTTTTAGCTGTTCGGACTCCAGGAGTTACTCCAAAACACTCTCTGGGGTCCCCAAGACTTGGCTTTTGCCAGCCTGCGCCTAATACCCTCTGGAATTAGGTCAGCAGGATGCGGACCCGGCTGACCAAAACAAAAAAGGGCCGAATCCAAAATGGTGACGATAGTGTGGGTTGGATGAGGAGGGGAGAGGATCGCGGGCGCATGGAGTGGAGAGGGCGAGTCACTATAACCCAAACTGCCGATCGTTGAAGACGGACTTGGGACTGCAACATCTCAGACACCACAATGACTGCCAGTGATGACAGGACGACACTGAATAAGGCCTTGTTCAGCCCTCTTTTACCCCATCTCCCCAACCACCCTCGCCCGCACCTGCTCCAAATGTTATCCTGCACCACAGCATGAAATTAAATCACGTGAAACACGTTGGAGTTTGTGTTGTGCTTACCTGGGTAGCCGGGGCCATTGTAAGGAATGCCGGCACACTGTGAGGAGTCGCAATAGCCTGGAGGCCCAGCGGGGCCTCGCGCTCCGTAGTGTCCCTGTCGGCCCCCGGGGCCTGGGGCACCTCGCGTACCAGGAGGACCTGGGGGTCCGGTTAATGATTGTCCTTGGGGACCTGAGAGGGGAACGCAACAAAGGCTCAGGGGTTAGGATCGCTCGGAGCGGGCGAGCAAAACTTCACTGGAGGTGAGGATTTCTACTCCCATCACATCCCACTGCTCACTTGCTCCCTACTTCTCACATCTTCCCTCCCCATCTCCCCACTGGTGCCCTCTCGACTTGTTAACCTCCCCTCTGTCCCTCTTTCCTCCACCCGTTTGTCCTCGCTCCTCTTTCCACCCACTCCCCTCTCCCTCTCCCTGCTTCCTCCCCCTGCTATCCCTCTCCCCCCGCTACCTGTTCCTCTCTTCCCGTTCCCCTCCCCCATTCTCCTCTGTCCCTCATTCCTTTCTCCCAGCTCCCTCTGCCCTGTTCCCTCGCTCCCCTCCCCTCCCTCCGCTCCCTTCTCCTCCTGCTCCCCACTGCTTCTCTCTCCTCTCGCCATCGCTCCCTCTCCTCTTAGCCCCTGCTCCCCTCTTCCTCACTCCCTGCTAACCTCTCCCCACTCTCCTCCTGTTGCTCCCCGAGTGAGGGCATGGAGAATGGTCGTCGCTGTAGGGTATGTACCTGGTGCTCCTGGTGGACCTGGGCTTCCTGGCTTTCCGATGCCTGTGCTGCCTCTCTCACCCTGCTCTCCTGGTGGACCTGCCGTGGGAACATAGAGAAAAAGACAACACTCACCTTCGGGCCTCAAACAACCACCTGCACATTAATATGGTGCTACATCTCAATAACAACAACATTACATTTATAGAGCGCCTTTCACGTTGGGAGGATGTCCCAAAGCGCTGAACAGTCAGGTGTTGGGGCCCGAGCATTGGGGAGGGGTGGTGTAGGGGTGAGGGAAGGCAGAGAGGTGGGAGGGAGACCAAAGGCTCGGTCAAAGAAAAGGGTCTTGAGATCGGCCTTGAAGGAGGCGAGGGAGGAAGCGAGGCGAAGGGACTGTGGGATGGAGTTCCAGAGTGTGGGGGCAGAGAGGCTGAAAGCACAGCCACCGATGGTAGGGCGGGTCGGGCGGGAGACATGGAGCAGACCGGAGCCTGATGAATGTTGGAAACGTGCTCCACAAGTGCAGCAAAGGCAACAACTTGCATTTACATAGCGCCCCTCACGCAGACTAGCGTCCCAGAGCGCTTCACAGTGGTGGAGCACGACACTGAGCCGGGGGAGGTGACCATTAGCACAGTCAAAGAAGAAGGTCTTCAGGCACCATCTGAAGATGGGGAAGGGAGAGGCAATGTGGAGGGATAGAGGAAGTTTGTTCCTGGCAAACACAGCAGCTAAAGTGAACTCCTGGCAACATGACCTTGGCTTGACTTGTCACAACCAAATCGGGGACGTAGGGTGAGTGTTCAGGAGGGATGAGATCAGATGGGCCGAATGCTCTTCTTCATCCGATGGACCTTGGTCTTCTCTCACTCAGCAAGTTCTTATGTTCTATGTGAAGCTTAAGTAACGATGTACCAACCTCTTTCTCCAGCTCTGCCGTCCGTGCCAGGTGCTCCTGGGAATCCTGGCCGCCCCTGAGCTCCGTTTTCCCCTCGGGGGCCGGGATTACCTGATTCTCCCGCGGGTCCCGGTGGTCCGGCCACCGCACGGTTGTTGTAGTAGCCGTTGGGGATTTGGTTTATCAGGGAGTTAACTCTGCTCATCTGATCTGTCGGGGGGCAAGAGAAAAGGGTCAAGCGTTTAAAAAGTAAACCAACAATAATCCTTGCATTTGATTTAGACCCTTATCACATCTTCAAGATGTCTCAAAGCATTTCCTAGGATATACTGTAAAGTGTAGTGACTGTGTATTTTATGAGTGAACGCGGCAGCCAATTTGCACGCAGTAGCGTCCCTCAAACAGCCACGGAATGAGTGCCCAAATTTTACCCGGGACATCGTCGGCCGAGACACCGGGAGAAGCGAGAGTGCTACCACTGAGCCAGGCCGACACATCACGCAAATAAAATCTGCATTCGGTATAGCGTCCACAATGCAAAAATGTCTCAAGTCTCCTCAGAAGGTATTTGTAAATTGTAGCCTCTGCGATCCGCGAATGTGGCAGCCAGTTTGCGCTCAGCGGCGGCCCAGCAACAACCCCGGTTTGCTTGTTTGAGGGAGAACTCTCGCCGAAATCTGACCAGCCGTCGTTGACAGAATATTAATAGTCCTTACGTCTGATACGTCTTATCGCATTGTTGACATTTCTTAAAAAAAAACTTCGCAATTTGTACGTCACAGCAAATAATTTTATCTGGGGGATTGTTGGCCAGGACACGGGGAGAAACACCCTTCTCTTTTGCAATGTAAATCATTTTTTGGGGGGACTGAAATGGGAGGAAACCCATCACTGTGCTTGAGAGTATCCAAACCAGACTGAGAGTTGCTCATGTTGTGCTACTTGTCCACCTAGGAACCCCACCCCACACCGCCGTCCCCTATTCATGAGGGCTTTGGCTTGCAAAGTTAACATAGCTACCACCTCCCCCCAAAGGAAGATAGGCCTCGGTTTAACGTCTCAGCCCAAGGACAGCTGCTGCCTGACAATGTGAGGCTCTCCTTGGCGCAGATTTTGAGCATCAGCCTAGACTGTGAGCTCAAGGGTTCTGTTTGAGGCACTTTTTCTTCAATCCCAATGCACCTGTGATTAGACTGCAGCGTCACGCTCAAATCGTGCCAGCTGGCAGAGAAGAGCACGAGAGAGAGAGATAGAAAGAGAGCGCGAAAGACTGCAAGAAAGAAGCAGAGACAGAGAGATCGCACACGAGAGGGAACGAGGAGATACGAGAGAATAGGATGGCAGGAAACAAAGCCACCCACCGACGTGCTTCTTCCATGCTGTTCTGATTAGCGCTGAAACAGATGTTACATAAAAAGAGACCCAAAACATATTGTGAAGCCCTTTGATCCATTTGAAGAGAGGTAGAGAAGGTAATGATTGAGACATGATGCAGTTCAGCTGCTAACTTTTGACTTGGATAAAATATCAGCTTGCGTGCAGGGCTCTCTGAATACTGATGTGTGTGTATGTGTGTGCTGTGGGCGGGGGGGGGGGGGAAGAACTGGGATAAATTATCAAAAAAATGTATTTTGAGCACAGCAGAAACCACAGCGTCCACTATAAATGTTGCTCAATAAGTATCTATAACAGTGGTGGCAAATCTATGCCCGTGGGCCAGAAGTAGCACATTCACACATTTATGGCATAAATCAAGAAATATTCAATGAAGAACATTTATTTTTTTGGCTGAGCCTAAAGATTGGTCATCAGTGGTCTATAACTATGGTCTACTAACACTGGTCTATAGAGTCTTGTAGCTTAGCGGTTAGAGCACTTGCCTGCCAAGCGAGAGGATCTGGGCGAAACGTTGGCCACGTTTCTTTACAAACACACGTCTCTGTTTACCTGTCACTTTCCTGGGGTAATAAACATTTTAAAAAAATAATAATTTGGTCACTCAATCCGCAACTGTTTGCGGGACACTGCTGCGTGCAATTGGTTGCCGAGTTTCACCCACAAAATATATAGTCACTTCAATAAACAGCGTATTCTGTGAGCGCTTTGGGACGTCTCAAAGACGTGATAAGGCGCCATATCAAATGCAAGGATTATTACTATTATTGTAGCATCAAAGCCTGTCAAGAGCAGTGACTGAGTCTTTTGTGGGAAAAATGCGGCAAACAGCCATGAAGAGCACGATCGTTTTTGCCTGAGGGATTGTCAGCCAGGGAACTGAGAGAAAAGAGAGCTTATCTTTTCAACTAATATTGTGAGATCTTTAACGTCCACCTGAACACGCACAGACGGGACCTCGGTTTAAAGTCTCAAGGATTCAAGGGGAAGAGCTCCCCAGTATTAGGGTTTGAGTAGAGAGCTCCAATGGGGGAGTGAGTACCACCACAAAAACAATGGGGGAAAGAGCAGGGGAACGGGATTAGAGTAAAGAGCTCCAGTGTGGGGAGCGAGCACGATGTAGACGGGGCAGGGGAATTGGGATTAGAGGAGAGATCCAATGGGGGGAGCTAAATTGACTGAAAGGCTTCCTTTCTATCCTGTAAGCTTTCAAGTCTGGATTTGGGGGCTTGAATAATAATAATAATAATCCTTGCATCTGATATAGCGCTTTTCACGTCGGGAGGAAGTCCCAAAGCGCTTCACAGAACACACTGTAAAGTGAATTGACTGTGTAATTGCGCACAGCAATGTCCCACAAACAGTCGTAGATTGAAAATGACCAATTTATTATTGTTTTGGGTTTTGGAGGGATTATTATTAGGCTCTGTGTGGAGTAAGGAAACTTGCCCAAGGTTTCGCCCTCTGCCTGGAATTGAACTCGGGTCTCTCACTTGCAAAGCGAGTGCTCTAACCACTGAGCTACAGGACTCCACATGAACCCTACAATCTCTTGACAGCTGAGATGAAAGACCGACTGAGGCAAGCTGACAGCAACCTTTGTGTCCAGGTTTTGTTGCCTGAGCAGTGGGTCCAGAGTTACAGTAAGTGTCACTGTTCACCTGTCATGAGTCACTCAATCTATGATCCTGTAGTGTCCGATGTCTGGATCAGGAGCTGAAAGGCTGACACAGGCAGCTGGCGGTCTCTGTGTGTAATCATTCCCTTTCTTTCAATCACTGAAGGAGCTGGTGGATCGGATGCCCGACGGGCAATGAATACAAGCTAGGACAAGGCTTTCATCGAGTGTCAGCCTTGCTCCAACCAGGCTCCACCTGCTTCAACCATTCCCAGACTCGCTGAGAACAATCCGCGCATTCACAGTAACACAGGAACCGGTGAGGTTATTAAGTTCACAGTTTAAGGCTGTCGCTCCCGCCCCGTGCTGTGTGGGGAGGTAGGGTGCGGAGAGCACTGCACTGCCATGAGATGCTCATCCGAGATTCCCGTCTGCCCGCTCAGGTGGACGTCAAAGAGCGCGCGGTTTGAAAAGCAAAAAAGGGGATTTTTCCGGTATCCTGGCCTAGAAGAAATCCGGAAAATTCATTCACCTCACGGTGGTTTGAGGGACCTCGCTGTGACGCAAAATGGCCACCTTGTTTACCTGCAAAGGTGCAGCCACAGAACTTCCGTGAGGTGCCCGGAGAGTTTTTGACACTGTCGGGGATGTATCAAATACGGGGATTATTTGGTTAGTGAGCCGTTAGTAAAGCCAGTGTGTCAGTCTGGCTCATCGGTAGTGCTCTCGCTTCTGAGCCAGTAGATTGCGGGTTCAATTCCCCACTTTGGGATTTGGAACTGGCATAACTGACGCTCTAGTGCAATGCTGGGGAGGGAACGCTGCATTGTCAGAGGTGACAGCCTTCGGATGAGATGTTGAACCCAAAGTCCCTTCTGCCTATTCAAGTGGGTGTCAGTTCCCATGGCACTATCCAAAAAGAGAAGGAAGTTTCTCTTCCCACCTCCCTCTCGATCTGTCTTCAAGTTCTGCCATAAAATCTACCTCTTCGATCATCCACCCCGTCCCATAAATCCCTCCGAGATGTAACCTTCGTGAAGGATTGGCTACAGTATGTGAATGCAAGCTGTAGTATTTAGGGCGCTTAAAGCAAAAGCAATCTGCAGTTGCTCTTTGTTTCACTCACTGTTCATCAGCTGTTCGCAGACTTGTCTGGCAATCGACCTCATCATGTTTTGAGAAGCCAGTCCCCCCTTGAAGAATTCCAGGAAAAAAAACACATGTCAAGGCCCACCTCATTCCTGGTAACATGTCCGAGACGCTTGAGCTATGTTCCGATGGGGATATTTAATTTTCGGTCTGCTGGGTGCCGGATACATTTAGAAACCCATCACGGTGCTTGAGAGTATGCAAACCAGACAGAGTTCCACCTACACATGGGAATCTCCATGTGCCTGGAACGGAATGTGCACTTTCTCCACAAAGGGGCATTGCTTACCTAATTGCGGGGAGTATTAGAAGTAGTTTGACGAGAGCCAAATCATGGGAACCTCCGAGTCCGCTGGAGTTTAAACCAGCTAAAACCACGATTGCAGAATTTCACTATCCCTCTCTGACCTGTTTGTAGTTTTGATTTAACTTTTCTTCCTTCCCTCCCTCATTAAATTGCCCCATCCTATCTTCAGTAAACTTTCTTCCTGAAATATACGCCTTGTTCCCTCTCCCCGCACGAGCATTCAATCTCAGCCACCGCCCACTATGCTTATTGCCCAGATCGGGCAAATTTAGACAAGTACTCTCCTTCTGGTTGCTGGCAGGAAGTCAGTGTTGATAGATTGTGCCGTGAGATTATTGTCAGACCAGATCCAGTTCAGATAACAAAGATCACGCTCAATCTACTCTCGAGTCCTATGTTCAGCTCTGTTGCCATTGATAAACAGGCTTAATAGCCCACTGTATCCTCTTCGACCATGCCATCGGCCACCCCTCTTTCTCTCCCCAGTTCGGGTCTGAAATACGGTACTCTGTCCAGCGCCTTGGGACGTTACCCCGAAGTGAAAGGCGCTATACAAATGTAATCTTGTTGTTATTTTATCTGTGTTGGTGCTCGCTTCTCCCTGGAGCTGTCTGCTCTAATCCCATTCCCCCTGCGGTTTCCCCATTGTGTCTGTGCTGGTGCTCACTGCCCCACTGCAGCTTTCTACTCTAATCCCATCACTATCTGGATTCCCATGTAATAAAAGTACAAACTAGTGACTAGGGGTATCTAAATGAAAACTTAGGAGAAGCTACTTCACACAGAGGGTAGTGAGATGGTGGTACTCGCTGCCTGAAGTCGTGGTTGAATCAAATAGTGTAGATGTATTCAAGGGGAAGCTGGACCTTCACATAAGGGAGCAGGGAATAGAAGGGTGTGGGAGGGAGTAACAACAACAACAACTTGGATTTATATAGCGCCCTCCACGCTGGACGGCGTTTCAGAGTGCTTCACAGTAACAGATCCCGGGGCCGAGCCAGGGGGAGGGGGAGGAGCCAGGGGGATGGGGGGAGCCAGGGGGATGGGGCGGAAGCCGGGGGGAGGGGGGGGGAGCCGGGGGCAAGGGGGAGGGGGTGGAACCAGGGGGTGGGGGAGGAGCCAGATGGAGGCGGAGGAGCCGGGGAGAGTGGGGGGGAGCCGGGGGGAGTGGGGGGGAGCCGGGGGAGTGTGGAGGAGCCGGGGGAGCCGGGGGGGAGCGGGGGGAGCCAGGGAGCCAGGGGGAGGAGCCAGGGAGCCAGGGGGAGGAGCCAGGGGAAGGGGGAGGAAGGTGACCAAAAGTGCGGTCGAAAAAAAAAATCTTCAGTCGAGACCTGAAAATAGGAAGGGAGGGAGCAAGACGAAGAGAGTAGGGAAGGGAGTTCCAGCGCCTCGGGGCATGGTGGCTGAAGGCACAGCCGCCGAAGGTGGAGCGGAGGACTTGGGGACAAGGAGGAGGCCAGACCCGGAAGAACGAAGGCAACGAGCACTGTTTTGAGGAGAGATGAGGTCAGAGCGGTCGGGGGCTGCAGAGGAGTGGAGGGACTTGAATACAAACTGAGGATCTTGAAGTCGATCCTCTCTGGGACAGGCAGTCAGTGCAGTCTGGCCAGGACTGGGGGGGTCGGGGAGCGGAGTTTGGTGCGGGTGAGAATGCGGGCGGCAGAGTTCTGAATGATTTGGATTTTGTGGATGGTAGTGGAGGGGAGACCAGCGAGGAGGGCGTTAGAATAGTCCAGCCGGGAGTAAGGGTGAGGGAGGGAATGGGTGAGGATTCATGTGGAGTATAAGCACCAGCACGGACTGGTTGGGCCGAGTAGCCTGTTTCCATGCCATACAGTCTTTGTAAATCTATGTAAACCCTGACTTGCTTCTGCATTCCCAATATAATACTTTTAATTATCCATTCACATTGATGCAATTCCCGTTATATGGTCTTAGGACTTGTTCTCAGGAGCCACGATAGCTTGGGCAGTTTTCTGTGTACAACACCTCAGTTTTGTATAGTATGGGTTATTTCAGAGTCACACACTCACCCGATCTCCTCTCTCTCCCTTCACACCTGGTTGTCCCTGAAACGAAGCAAAATAAAGACAGTGAAAGTTGTGACCAATTGAGGAAATGGATTCTCTCCAACTCTGAGAAGCTCCTGCATTGAGTTTAAAAGTGATACCTGAGAGTTCTTCACGGTGTATCTAACCCTTGCTGTGGGTGATGTGCTAAGTGAGTAGAGACTGTTATGCCTGACCCGATGATACGCGATTGGGCACATGCACTTGGCTGAGGTGCGGATTTCACAATGAGCTGTCACGTATAATGCCAGGGCACAATTGGGTGCATGTCTCGAGCCACAGCACAGACTTCTCTTTATGTTCTGACTCAGCTGTCAGGATCAGTTGCCAGCATCGTGGGTCGTGTTGTGGTGGCACGCCCCAGCATGTACAGTATTGTGTTACCATGTATTTCTCTCCAAACAAAAGCCTTCTCCCCAGAGAGAGCGCGAGGCTTAAGTGGAAATGGCGGCCTAGCAAAAAGCTCCTGAGGCTGTGATGATTAACTCCTTCATAGGAGCAGGAGTGGGTCATTCAGCTCCTTGAGCCTGTTCCACCTTTCTATTCCACCATGGCTGATCTGTACCTCAACTCCATTTACCGGCATTTTCTTCCTATCCCTTGTTACACTTATCCATCACGTATCTTGATCTCAGGCGACTCCTAGTTTGACATATCCCACGCATTTGGAAGGTTTTATAAGAACATATAAGAATTTGCTGGCTAAAGAAGACCAAGGTCCATACAGTTCACCTTCCACCATCCTGGCAGTTGCTTGACATGTCGTATCCCAAACTATATACTGTATCCCCGAGATATTATTTTCTAACAGAAATCTCTCTAATTTGTTCTTGAAACAAACAACAATTTCTGCTTCCACCGTCTCCCTAGGGAGCCTCTTCCATATGTTTACTACTCACTCACTGAAGTAGTGTTTCTGCAGATTTGTTCTGAATTTACTCGCCCTTTCAATCGCAGGCCGTATCCTCTGGTTCAACTGTTCAGTACAAGATTAAACATCACTTACCACTGGTCCGGAGTTTCCGGGTTTTCCTTGCGTTCCAGTTGGACCAGGAGCCCCCGGAGCACCAGGTGATCCCTGGAGCAGAAAGAAAAGAGGAAAAGATCCCGTTCGTCTTTATCCAGAAACATCACAAGAGGACACACAACATCACAAGGACATAGATTGGCTTTGTGAAAAAGGCCCTTCAGCCCATCCAATCTCATCCTTCCAGAACACCCACCCAACCATTATTATTAATAATATTACTATTATGTTTATGTTATTGCAGTTTAAATCACTCCATGGAGGTAGTTTCCATGTGGTTTTCAGTGATGGTCAGCCAGACCAATAACTGCTACGTTACATATGAATGGATGGTACTTTTCTTAATAAGTTTGAACTTCCTGAAATAGCTACTATATGCAGGAGGTTGATATTTTGTTCACCAGGTATTTTTCAAGCCATTTCTGAATAAGCTTATTAACAGTCTCAGTTGCACTGATTCTTATAGGAACTATGTTCGTTTTAAATTGCCATTTACGTCCGCATTCAATTGATAGATTGGTATATTTCCCTAGTTCACGCCCTGGCACCTCCCTACCTCTCTGACCTGCTTACTCGAAACTCCACCTCCCGGTGCTTCCGCTCGGCTAGCTCTGGCCTCCTGCTTATCCCTCGTCCCCTCCGCTCCACCATTGGCGGCCGGACTTTCAGCCACTACGTCCACAAATTCTGGTACTCTCCTCCTCCTGAAACCCTCTGCCTTGCCCCCTCATTCCCCTTTTTCAGATTGCGCCTGAAGACCATCCCCTTCGACCATGTATATGGTCACCTTCTCCCTCCAGCTCAGAGTCAGGCTCCGCCACTGTTAAGTGCTCCGAGACTCTACCCTGTGTGGAGGCCGCTGTTTAAGTGCAAGTTGTTATTGCATTCATATTGCATTTATTTCTTACGTTGTAATCATTTGGGATAGCCAGATAAATAGTACAACATGTACAATCTAGTTATTATTATTAATATTATTATTGCTCCTATATTTCTGATCCTTTTTTATTAACCACACATTCCAACTCTAACCCTAGCTCCCTCAATGTATTTGCTGCTCAGATTTCAGTCCATTTCTCTATTAAACATTCTGTTTGCTTCAGGGCAACACCTGCTGGATACAACAGTCACAAGAGACGGTTACAATCACACAAACCCAAAGATGAAAAGCTACAATCACGCGAACCTGCAGATGGAAAGTTATAATTATACCAACCCGCAGCAAGTGGAAAGCTACAACTGCGCTCACCAGCAGGTGATCACTGCCTTGCCTTTTGGCTAAGATAAAGTCTAATGTCTGTTCTTATCAGTTACTCCATGGGTTTGAGTAGTGTCTGACAACTTGCTCTCCCTTTGAGGTTTGGATCATTGGAGCCGATGTGAACCTCCCCATGACTTATTCATGGGGGTCACTGGACTTAGAATGCTTGTGCTTAGCCCACTGTTGGCTGGGAATCAGGATATAACGGGTGCTGATCCCGAGGAGTCTGATCCAACCCAAAAGGGAGAAGGGAGAAACTGGAATATCGACTATCTTGAGCCTGATCACTAGGGTACAACCAGGTTTGCCCGGTCACAGAAGCAATCTGGCCGATTGACTTGCTCATGAGGCCGTGATATAAGGTATCGGGTCCGTGCTGTCTTTAGACAGTTTGGGATGAAGGTTTGGGTTTGAGATGCCTGGTGGGTAACTCACGTTTCCCACTTGTGGAATGAGATTTGGTTAAATTCGGATGGGCGGGGGGTGAGTGGGGGAATAACCAACAAGTGGAATGGTATAATCTCACTAATCAGTTGGTGGAAACCTACAATTAGACTAACCAGCAGGTGTCGGGTAACAACCAAACTAACCAGGAAGTGGGAACCTACTATCATATTAACCAACTGGAGGAAAGCTACAATCACACCAACCAGCAAGTGTAACCAGCAAAGTCAATCGTATGAAAAAACCTAATTACACAAACCAGCAGGTAAGCAGCAGAATAATTGGGATTGGGAAAGTTACAATCATATTAACTAGTAAGTAGAAAAGTTGCTACCACACTAACTAACAGGTGGAAAGTAAAGTTTCAATTAAACTGACCATCAGGTGGAAAACGACAACAGCAAATTACGTTTATACAATCACACTCACTAACCAGTTATAAATATACTTACCAAAAGATGGGAAGTTGCAATCACATCCAACCATTCTAAACAGCAGGTGGATGGTACAACAACGTTATATAGTTGGTGGAAAGTTAAAATCAAACTAATCGGTATGTGAAAAGTTACAATCACACTAACTGGCTGGTAACGATCACACTAACCAACAGGTTGAAACCCTCAGTCAGACTAACCATTAAACGGAAAGCAAAGAGAAACTAACCAGCAGTGGAAAGTTACAGTCATTAATCAACAGGTGACAACACACATCACGGAAACTAATGGGTGGAAGACAACCACCTCACGAGCTACCAGGTGGAAATCTTCAACCACACGAACCGGCCAGTGTACATCTACAGCAACAACTTCCATTTATATAGCGTTCCTCACACATCATAGTGTCCCAGAGCTCGTATTACATCTACAACCCATGCTAACTAGCAGGTGGAATTGTAGAATCCTATTAACCAACAGGTGGGAAGTTACAATCAAACACAGAGTGGGTGGGAGAGAGGGAGGTGGGAAAAGATGACAGGACGCAGGGAGAGTCTGCCTCTGAACGCATCCAGATCATTTTCTTTGTAATTCCTTCAGATTTTCTAAAGTTAAACCTAAAACACATTTTAGATCCCGGTGTTATAGACCTGGCCTCAGTAGCAGTGTGTCGAAGGACACACATCTATGTGCACAAAAAAAATCCTCTGCTCAGTGTGATCACTTGAGGTTCCCCTGTTATTGACTCACCAGTCAGTGCAATAGACTCTCTCTATTTCCAGTGCCCAAACCATTTGCTATTTTGAAAATGTCTATTAGATTCTGCCGCCCTCTCCTCCACAACCTTTTCTGCTGCGTCCAGCAGAAAAGAGTGTCAGTTTTTCAAGTCTCTCCGCATATAACCTCTTACCCCTCTAGTACTACTGCATCTTTGTCATGGCTTTTCTATCTTCATAATCCCTTCATGTCCTGGCACCTCCATACCTCTTCAACTGGCTTACTCCCCTGTCTACTATCCATCGACTGGCTCCGGCCGCCTACTTGTCCCTCAGCATTGGTGGGCGTACAGTCAGCCACTATGCCCCGAAACTCTGGAGCACTTTCCTCAAAACCTCCGACTTGCCTCTTCCTTCCCCATCTTCAGGTCGCACCTGAAGATCTTCCTCTTCAACCGTGCTTATGGTCACCTTCCCCCTCCATCACTGTTAAACCTCTAAGACACTACCCTGCACGAGGGGTGTTACAGAAATGCAAGTCTTTGTTGTTGTGTAGTGCTTTGAAATTGAATGTGATTAGGATCAAAGTGCTATTCAGCCCATCAAGCCTGTTCCACCATCATATAAGAACACTTAAAATCTTCCAGTCCCATTATCTTATCTTTTTCTCATAGGTTTTACTTCCAAGTATCTAACCATCACCCTTTCAAATACCCCCATTTGATTCTCGCCTCTACGACCTTCTGAGGCAGGTCACCCCACCTTCTCACCACCCTTTGTGCAAAGAAACCTTCCTGCTCACAAAACCAACATTTGCGGCCCCTCATTTTTGGGGGGAGAGACATTCAGTGTTTAGTTCGTCAATTCCCTTTGTTATTTTATCTTCCCACTTCAGCCCAACATAAAGTTAGAACAGTTCAAGGAGACATTTCTGAATCATAGACTTACCATTGGCCCTGCTGGTCCTCGAGGTCCTGGTGGTCCTTCTTTGCCTGCAAAGCCCTTTAATGAGAACAGAAAAAAGCTAATTAATTTCCATCCATCATCACCTGGTGATGCACAAGAGTCACTACGAGGATGGCGGAGGGGACAGGCTACGGTGTGTTACATTCAGCTCCTGTTAATCTTGCAATTTTAAGCCCTAATGGGTATCGTGGTCCAAACTGGACAAGCAGCAGGAATCTTCCATGTTCTCGCAATGGCAAGTTGCACAGTTTTAGCTGGTCAGACTTCAGCAATTACTCACCTCTCCCCTCCAACACACAGCCTTGACTCTTGCCAACCTGCTCCTAATACTATCCGGGATTAAGTAAGCAAGGTGCTTCCTTTTAGGCATTCAATTCCAGAGACAGGGATATCATAATATATGTGGAACTCAGTATGGTTCGGAGACTCAATAAGCATCACAATGGGTTTCAGCATATGTCAGACTCACCAAAGCAGGTGCTCACTGGCCAACTGGACCTCTCACCGACAATGCCACACTCTCCTCAGCATTGCACTTAATCATCAGCTGAGAGCTCAAAGACCCGATGTGGGGCTTTAAAACCACAACCGTCTGAGCCAGAGGTGAGAGCGCTGTTGACTGAGCCAGGCTGACATCTGACATTTGAAGATTATTATTCATTTCCAGATCTTAGTCCCCAATTGTTCCTTGGGTTATTAATCTGAGGTTCCTGCCTGCCTTATGATGTTAGGCGAACATCAATGATCATTGCGGAGAAGCCCAGAGTTTATCTTGGTTGTTCATTCCCTCCCTTCTCATCCGAAATTCAGCCTTAAATTCAAATAAATCATCCGATGAATCTGGGGTCATCGCTGGCACATATTCAGCTGCAGCGTTTGCCTCCAAAACAATGTTCAGCTTTGTTTCTAATCGATTTCCTTTGATAAAGCGCTTTGTGATGTTTATTTCATGTGAAAGGCATGGATAGTAGAAATACAAGTTACTCTTATATTGTTATTTTGTTTTAGTCAGCCGGGTGTCCGACACATGTAGAAACCTATCACAGTGCTTGAATATCAAAATCAAGTTTGATACATCCCACCTATACAAGGAAATTCACATGGATTGGAATGAAATGTGCACTGTCTTTCTCCAGCGGGATGCACCCTGCTTATTTAATTACGGAGAGCATTAGACAGGTTGGCAAGAGTCAGGTTTGGGGGGGATCCCAAAGTGCGCGTCGGGTGTAACATCTGGAGTATAAGCAGCTGAAACCACATAGTTTGCCGTTGAGAACACTGTCTGGCAATTTTCCCACTATTTGTCTCGCTATCTGTTAGAGCTTTGGCTTTCAGGGTTAACAGGAGCTGAGTGGGAAGAATCCCTGCACCCAGTGACTGGTCTGTCCCTCCAAGTCTGGAGGATGGCTGTGCTGTCATCAGCAGTGCCCTGGTGTACTGTGGACCCAATGGCTCAGGAACTGGACTACCGAGACCACCGCAAAGAACTGGCTCGATTCTGACTTTCCGTTGCCAAGCACGTCACCTTGGAGCCAAGGAGACCTCACTTATCATCCTCCCAAAGAGGATAATATTATTTACAATGTCTTAACATTTACGGTTGAAATATTTGCAATGTTGATTGTTGCATCGAATCCATTGCAAAACCTCATATTTTTCACTCCAATTTTTTTGGATGATTTTCAACATCCTGTGCTCTTGCTCTGGTTACTGCTGGCTTATTGCAACGGGTTGGGCTGGGGTGTAAATTGCGACATAGGGTATACTAATTAGGTGAGCTGTGTGTGTGTGTGTGCTCTGCTGAGCATGTTAAACCATGGGGAAGCAGGTTATTTTTAAATGGATGCAACAAGATAATCCCAAACAGTCATCTATTCTGAAGTGCTCTGGGACTCTACCCTGCGTGAAGGGCGCTATATAAATGCAAGTTATTGTTGTTGAATCCTGAGGGGGTCGCCGGTCAGGATAAGGAGGGAAAGATTCCCTTCTCTTTTCTGATTGTGCTGCGGGATTTTGGTTTAACTTCTCATTCTAAGGATGGCACCGCCGACAATTCAGCCATTATCCAGCACTGCATTGGAGTTGGGATTTTCAGAGGGGTTATAAGCAAACCTTTAGAGATATAGGGACGTTAGTATTCAGAATTCTGCAGCTCGTGTCCTTTTCCGTACCAATTCAACCTCAATTCTAACCATATTGATTCTTGTGAATCCCTCCCCACCCTCGCCCGGCTCCAATGGCTCCCCATCCCCCAGAGGATAGAATTTAAAATCCTCATCCTCACTTTTAAAGCCCTCCACAGTCTTGCTTCTCCCTAGCTCTGTAACCTGTTAGCACCATATCTACCTGTCCACTCCTTCTGCTCGGCGGGCTCTGGCCTGTTTCATGTCCCTTGCCCTACTTGCCCCACCATCGGTGATCGGGCCTTCAGTTTTTCTACCCCCACCATCTGGAACTCCATCCTGGAATCCCTCCACCTCACCTTTCCGTTACCTCCTTCAATACCCATCTCAAGACCTTCCTCCTTGACTGTGTGTTCGACGACACTTCCATCCTCATCCCCTACCCTCGATCCCTCTATTTCTCTCCCTTTTAAACAACCCTGTTGATTCTGCCTCTACAGCTTTCTGGGGCAGAATGTTCCACATCTTCACATTGCTTTGTGTGAAGCAATGCTTCCTGACCTCAATTCTAACCATGTTGATTCTGATTTTGAGATTATGCCCCCTGGCGCCTTGTATTATACCAATGCCCTCGCCGGTCTCTCCACCTCCATCATTCACAAATAATTCAAAACTCCCATATCCTCACCCATACCAAACTCCACACACACCCCCTTCACCCCAGTCCCTGCCAAGCTCCACTGGCTCTCTGTTGCAGAATGGATCGATTTCAATACCCTCAAACCCGCCTGCAAATTACTTCATGCCCTGGTATCTCCCTACCTCACCCACGTGCTCAGAAGAATCCTGTCCCCAGTGACTGGTCTGCCCTCCTACCAATGAGCCAGGCTGGTTGAGCGTCCCTCAAGTGCTGTGGACCCGTCTGTCTCAGGAAGCAGATGACAAAGACAGACGGACACAGAGGGTTGACTTCACACAGAGGCAAACAGCTGCAGCTCAAGCTCCACACCTCTAACTGGTGGAACTATTACTCAATGCGACGGTTCATGTGTCTGAGCTATTGGCATGAGGATGGGAGGAATGCTCTCACATTTGATACTGAGCTGTGAAGGAAGCTCGTAGAGAGTTCCTGGTATCTGCCATCTACCTAATGAGGGCTCAAACATGCACTTGTTGGATGTCAAATGACTTAACTAATGACTGTCGCCTGGGGGACTGAGGGAGGTAAGCGGGGTCTCCTTGGAGCTGAACTGGCTCCAAGGTGCCATGCTTAGCAGCGGAGTGTCGTAATTGAGTCAACCCTCTGTGACGGTCTCTAGTCTGGTTCCTGAGCCAGGCGGTTCTGCAGTATTCCAGGGTACTGCTGATGACAGCACAGCCCAGCCTGGCTCATTGGCAGGACTTAGAAGGGCAGACTAGTCACTGGGGACACTCAGTTCATATTAATCCTGCAAGCGAAAGCTCTAACAGGCAGAGTGTTCCTAGCTGGGCAATAAAAGTACTGCAATAAGCAGTAAAGCTTACCAGACAGTGTTTTCAACGTCAAGCTATGCGGGTTTATAGCTGATTAAAGTCCAGCAGTTATCCCAATGCACACTGTGGAGACCCCAAGCCTTCACTGTTGCCAGCCTGTGTTTGATTCACTCCGGAATTAGATAAACACGGTGCATCCCTCCGGGGAGAGAGTACACATTCCATTTCAATACACTGGAATTTCCATGCGTAGGTGGGATGCATGGAATTCTCAGTCTGGTTTGGATACTCTACGTGTCAGACACCTGGCTGACCAGCAAAAAAGACACTTTACAGTAAAATCCTGTCAAGGGCTTTGAGAAGTCTTGTCGGCACGATATATCAAATGCAAGGATTATTATTAAGGGCATTTCGGGCGCTATAATAAAAATATGAGGATTATTATTGTTCCATACAAACATTTAAATCACGCTGGAGATTTCACGTCTGTGTTTGGATTACTTGCATTGCAAAAGGCACAGGAAATTGCAATAAGACTACTCCCTTACATTCATAATCGATGAAAGGAACTTAACCTTTGTAGTCGGGAACAAAGTTGACGTTTGCGTGAGGAGGGGTGTTGGTGGGAGTGAAGAAAGAGGGAGAGAGTGAAAGATAGAGACAAACACCCTCACTGAAGTGTATAAAATAGTTCACGGCACAGAGAGACTGAAATCCACTCACTCACTTCAAAGGAAGCTAAACTGAGCAGGACCCAGAGGGCGATGATGGAAACTATAAATTCAGAGCAGATGTTTAGGAATAGAATTCCTTTACTCAAAAGAACGCTTGGAAAGAATAGGAAGAAAGGGTCACAGGTTGTTTTGCAGCACCCTGGAAAGGCCTCACCGGTAACCGCGGGGCAGGTGCAGTGATTGTCTTTTTGGGGGGGTGGGGGTCGTCCGAGGCAAGAGCTGCCCTCAAACACACCCAAGTGGTGAACGATCCATGACAGCCGTTACTTTCTGATCTCCTTCCCTCTAGAACACCCACCCTACCATCCCCCGTCACAGCATCAAATCGCTTTGCAAATGAGTCCCAGTGTCTTGGCCTCAACCACCCTTCCTGTCAACCCGCTCCAGTCTTTAATTACCCTCTGGGTAAAGAAACACTTCATGGTGTGTGTCCTGAAATTGTCCTTTATACCTCTAAACCTGTGTCCTCTACTGTCTACTGTCAGGAATCGAGGCAATGGGAGTTTCAGAAAAGAGTTCCCAGGGGGAGGGATGAGATAGTGACCGATGGTTCAGCCATTGATGGTTGGATGGAGAAGTGAGGAACGAGTTGGAGAAAAGTGGTGGAAGAATCTATCTGGAGATTTTGGGGGTCAGAACAGTGGGCAGGCGTTTTAACATCTACCTGAAAAGGCACGGATGGGGCTTGGTTTTTAACGTCTCATCTGCTGGCCAGGGTGACATTCAGTGGTCTTATCTCATGCTCGATATTTATTGTGCTCTTGGGAATGCCTCGTGGTGGAATAGTGACCACCAGCCCACTGGTCCAAACGGTAAACATGCTTATGCATTAGCCTGGCTCAGTCAGTAGCACTCTCACCTCGGGATCAGAAAGTTGTGGGTTCAAGCCCCACATCTGCACAATGAGCTTACGCTCGATGCCGGGGAACTCCAACTGGTGGCCCAGGGGCTACATCCAGCCTGAAGGATGATCTCATTTGCCCCATAAACCATTTCCAACTTCATCACCCGACAAGCAAATGTAGGCGACGCCCAGGCCCCGAGCCAATCAGGAAACTGTTACCATGGGATCAGACTCCACCTGGCAATGAGACTGGCCAATCAGGAGGCAGTATCGCTTACACGGCCCTCAAACATGTCTCAGAACGGCATCCGGCTCTCGGCGGCCAAAAGGTTGGACCATCCTGGTCTGGGCAAAGCCCAGTTCTGGGTGGGGTAGGGGGCCGGTGAGGATGCTTCATAGCCAGAGGCTCCGGTCACCAGATGAGACCTAAAACCAATCATTTCCACTTGTTCTGAAGTAGGCATTAAGGATTTCTGTGACACTATTTGATAAAAGAACGGAGTTTTCCCCAGTGTCCTGGGCCAACAATTCTCCAGATAAACATATCACTCGCCTCGTGGCTGTTTGTGAGGCCTTGATGTGCACAAATTGGCTGCTGTGCTTTTCTGGGAAAGCGACAATTACCATGAAGCACTTTGAGGCATTCCGACATAATATAAAAGTTCTATAAAATTGCAAGCTCCTTCTTATATGCAAAGCAACCTCACAAGACCACGAGATTGGTTTAGATGAAGGAGAGTTCTTTCGGCCCATTTGATCTTATCCTCTTATTGGAGGAGATGTCTCAAAGTGCTGAACAGAGACGAAGTGGGAGCCCAAGCTGGGTGGGATATGTGCGTGTGTGGAGTGGGGGAAAGTTGAGGGTTAACAGACCTGAACGTGAAGAGGCCTGAGTTGTTGGAGCGGAACGGGCTGGAGATCAGGCAGAGCAATGCCATTGGAGACATTTGCAAGGTAAGAATGAGGATCTTAAAGTCGGGGAATAGGGAATATCTAGAGGAGCCAGGCAAGGATGTGCACCTGCGTGCGTGTGTGTGTCTGTGGGGAGAGTGATGATGGCGGACAGCATTGGCCTACAAACACACAGTCACTACAATTTGCGGAGACCTTCGTGAAGCTCTCTGAGACGTTTCAACCCCATAAAGCGGGATCAAATGCAAGGATTATTATTCAATATGACGCCTTTCAATGGAGCCAACACAGGAGTTAAAGACTTGTCAGTGATGTGCAGAAGCATTGCTTACCCTTGCGCCCTGAGGTCCAACGGCACCCTGGGCTCCATTCCGTCCAGGCTGTCCCTGTCAAACACAAACACGCAGAAGCAGCTGAGGTTAGGTCCCCTGTAGAAACAATTCCCTCCGCTTTTCAAAAGATATTAAAAAAACAAAATTCCACCTCTCCCTCCAGCAGAAACAATAAAATAATTGCATTGCGGTTCCCAAAGGCAGAACATCTGAACTGAATCAATCGAAACAGCAACCCGCGCAAAACAAAAAGAACCAAGGAAACAGATGAAGACTTCAATTGCTGAGGCAATGGTTTAAACTAGAATTGTCCTGCCCCGAGCCTGTGAGAATTAGCATTCTTTTCCTCCTTTGTCCAAATAAACCATTAAAAATGGCCCAAGCCCATTCCTCTACCTCCCCTTGTTGCTCTCTCCTCTCCCTCTCCCCTCCTCTCTCCCCCACTCTCACTCTCCCTGTCTCTCCCCTCTTTTCCTTTCTCTGGGTCTCTTTCTCTCTCTTCCCCCCCCCCCCCCCCCCCCCCCGCCATCAGTCTCTCGCCCCATTCTCTCTCTCTGACTCTCACCTCGCCCTCTCCCCACTCTTTCTCTCTCTCTCTCTATTCTCAATCCCTCTCCTCTTGTCTCTCCACCTTCTCTCTCTCTTTCTCTCTCTCTGCCAATAATCATCTTCACACAATGCAATTATTCACAAATATAATTGTTTTAAATTATTCTCTGTTGTTTCCGTGAGCTTTGAAGTAAAAAGAGATTTACCACATGTTTAATGAAATCCAGAAACCCTTTTGAGAGAGAGGGAGCGAGGGAGCAAGAGAATGCTGGATTAGGTGACATTGGATTTAAGGTGGGCAGAGTTTATTTAACTGGAGCTTCCCCAAAATGCCCCCGGTTTTGTCCTCCACCCCCCACTACTCCCACTCACTTCTTCTCTTCTACCACCATCGTCACCTTCTATCCCTCCTGGACCATTCCACTGCCTCCCAAGGTCCGTCGCAAGACGTACCCCTCTTTGACCGGTCATCTTTCCCCTCCCCAACCCCCTTGGCTCCCACTCTAGCCTGGGTGCCCAGCCAGCAGCGTCTAGCACCTTGGGATGTCCTCCCGACATGTAAGGCAGTGGGTAAATGTGAATCTGTATTGTATTATATTGTACAGTAAAACAGCATCGACATCTGACACAGTCTCTATAAAGTACCCTGAGATGTATCATAGAATCATAGAGTACTAGAATTATACAGCACAGAAGGAGGCCATTTGACCCATCGTGTCTTTGCCGGCTCTTTGAAAAGAGCTCTCCAATTCAATCCCACTCCCCCGCTCTCTCCCCATAGCCCTGCAAACTTATCCTCCCCAAATAATTATCCTGCGAGAGGGACGATACATAAACACAAGTTGTTGTTGTTGAGAGGGTCCCTGGTCACCATTAATGCCTATGCTCTTACACAGTCCTTAATAACCCCATTTGAAACTGTACTAAGTACGTCCAGGCCAGCTCCAGTTCAGAGATCTAAAGCTTTCCGTACTCTGCTCCATTCAGCATGCTGGTTATATGTAAAGATCCCTGTGCTCAGCTCCACGGAAAATGTCTGTGTCAAGTATGTCTCAGAGATCTGAAGCTCCCTGCCCGCAACAGCATTAAACACGTCCAGGTCAGCTGAAGCACAAGACACCCAGAGCTGTCTGGACTGCGCACATTCTAGACAGCTATAGCACGACAGGTGTACATCTCAAATGGGCTGCCAAGTTTGCCTGCCAATGCAACTATATCCTGTACAAACACAGAAGTTGCTGGGAACACAGCAGGTCAGGCAGCATCCATGGAGAGAGGAAAATAAGTTAATGCTTCAGCTCAATGACCTTTCGTCAGAACTGTATATCCCGTGAAGAGCTTCGAGACGTCCTTCTGACATGAAAGGCGTGATATCAAACGTAAGGATTATAATTATTATTATTTTTATAATTGGAGTTATTATTATTATTTTTATGTTTGAATTCAGCCGCATTAAGCACAGCATTAGGACAAGAGATTATGTCCAAGTCACTTGTGAGAGAGGACATCTGAAGCTCCTCGTGCCTAGTTCAATTAAGTTCATTTAGATTAACTCTAGTGCCGAGGAATCTAGATCTCCCTACACTCAGGCCTAGTCAGCTCCAGTACAGGAGATCTGGAGCTTCTTGTATTCAACCCCATTAAACATGGTCAGGTCAACTTCAGTTCTTGCCACCTGAGGTCAAGTGAGTACATCTACAGCTATTAGAGTAGTTGCACATCTCCGTGAACATTGACCCCATTCTCAGCAACTGAGCAAACTCGGTTGGAGGGGTTCGTGAAGAGAGCAGCAGGAGAGTAAGGAGTGAACCCCACTTACCTCCCCCCCCACGCCATGGAGGATACACCCTTTTGAGTACTGTGGTCTTAGCTTCTTAACAGCTTCTTGCAGTAAACCATTCCACGTTCCAATGACAACATACAGTTATATAACCCTCTCTGAGGAATACATCTCCGTTAATTCTTCCGGCCATGATCCCGAGAACATGCCCACTGGCTATTAATTCTCCCCTCCTCTCCCCCCGCCACAACCCTGTAAATAAAACACACTTACCGATCGACCAGGTAATCCCGGTTCACCTGCATCACCTTTCATCCCAGTTCGGCCCTGTGAGAAGCAAAGAGCGAAGAGTTAGTTGGGGGAGTTAGTCGGACGAACCTGTGTCCCAAAATACGGTTAACAGCACTACCGTGGATAAAGCCTTGAAGAATAATGACAAAGGAATTTTATGGAACCACTTATTTTTTGATTTGACTCAGAGTTGGGTTCAGGCATATTAGCTGAAGCACAGTTGCACTGTTTACATATTCCCAAGAGTCGCAATCTTGTCCTCATTCCATGTGGAGGAAAACAAAAGCTTTGCTTGAAAGCACCTATCGTCACCAGGGATCCGAAATTTGGCACAGAGGGAGCCACTCATTTCATATTCACTTCAAGTTATATTCATTCTCCTGGGATACATTTGTTTTCTCCAAACGGTCAGGGCTTTGGCTCACAGTGTTGAAGAGATGTTTCCAAGTTGCGTTGAGGAGGCAGGCATGAAGGTCAACTAACAGGCCTTGGATCGCTTGGGACCTCCCTGGGTTTTTCAGGCATTTCTTCTTGGAGCCAGCTCAGCCCCAGAGATTTGCCGCACAACTTCTCTCCCGTGGAGAATAGTCTTAAAGTGTCCGGCTGGCTCAATTGGACTCGCTCACGTCTCTGGGTTAGACGTTTGTAGGTTCACGCACTATGTTGGGACTTTGAACTCACATGGTCTACCCTGATGCTCCACGACAGGACAGTGTGTGTGTGTGGGAGAGGGGGAAGAAAGAGCACTGTTCATTATTGGGGGAGCTATGCTGTCTTCCATCGTGTCTGTACTGGTGCTCGCTCCCCCACTGGAGCTCTCTACTGTAATTCTATTCCCCTGCTCTTTCCCCAGTTGTCTATGAGCTGGTGCTCACTCCCCCACTGGAGCTCTCTACTCTAATCCCAAACCCCCTGCTCTGTCCTCCATTGAATAAAGTAGTGAAAGGGAAGTTCAGAAACAAATGATTTACACAAAAGGTTGTGAGGATTTTTAAGGGCACAGATGCAGAATTGACAGAGGCGTTGGAGGGAGAGGGATTTGGTAAACTTCGGAATTTAGGGAAAAGGTGAGAAATGAAAATTACTCAATTGCTGTAGGCTCGAGGGCAGAGCCGAGTCTCTGTGCTGAAATTACCTGCTCCTGTTTTATGTCTCCAATTTCTCTTCCAAACCGAATTAATGCCAATTCTGGAACAGCGTTCTGCATTCTGGCAGTGCTCACTGTGAAAATTGCTTCTGACCTCACCTTTTTTTCCCCTCCAGTCCCAATCGCTCCCTGCACATCCTATCACAGGAGCGCAGACGACAGAAGGCTATGTCCTGACTTTTGTAAAGTTGAATCCCAGCTATGTTGAACTTTCTTTGTAGTGCTTACGCGAGAGCTACCTCATAGCCTCTTCCTTGTAACTGCACCGTAGCTCCTACATCATAACCATCTTGTAGTTCTGATGTCGCAAAGGACACGGGTAAGATATATGGAGAAATGTCCGGGAAAAGGGATTAAAGGATCTTGGATTCTCACTCAATGCCAACAAGTCCTGCTGTGTGATGCCCCATTGTTGCTGTCAAGTGTCTTGAAATGCTCACCTGACCTAAAAGACTGTTAAGCCTTAGGTTCACACATATTAGTTCCAGCACTGTTACACTGTAGATATCCCCATATAAGGGGTGAGATGTTACTGTTTGAGGACATGATCTTACAAGAACATGCCAACAAGGATAACGTCTCATCAGTAGTCAAACCAACGCTACTAAGAATAATAATGCCGATACTCCTAGTGTTTGAAATGGCATTATCACATTGAAACTTCAGCGTTCTCTCTAAAGTGTAGTGACTGTTTTGCAGGTGAACACGGCAGCCAACGTGGGACTATCAACTCTTCAGCCTATTCTGTTCACCCAGTACGGCTCATCATGGCACTGGTGTTAGGTTCACTGTCCGTCCAACCTGAAGCCACAGGCAATGATCTCAAACTCTGGCACACCATCACAGGCGGTTTGTAATCCCGGAATCTTCTAGAAGAAAGTTTCTCCGTTGTTTACATTAGAGAGTTTTGTGGTATTAACCAAGGTGCCAAGACCACAAGAAAGGTTCAGTTGAAGAAGACCCTTTAGCCTACCTGAACTCTTCCTCACAGAAGACCCACCCATCATACCATTAATTTCTTAAATGAAACCCATGTCCTGGCCTCAATCATCATTCCTCATAATCCCAGTCCATCTGCTAATTTCACTTGGGTTAAGATTCACTCTGTTAACTCACCATTTCAGGGGCTCCACAATTTGACAAATCATTCAATTTGGTCTTAACTCTGAAGCTCGNTTTTTGTTTTATTTTCCCCTTCTACCCTATGGTTTCTTCAAAGATCTTTAGAGAGAAACAGCTTGAAAATGAATAATAAAAATTATAATTGTTACACTTGGTATAGCACTTTTCACGGTGGTAGGACATGCCAAATACTTTAAAGTGTAGGATATACTGTAAACTGAAGTGACTGTGTGTTTTATGGGTGAACGCAGCAGACAATTTACATACAGCAACGTCGCACAAACAGCTATGAAGTGAATAAGTGATTTTTTTTTTGGGTGGGGGGGGGCGTGGAATTGCCGGTCAGGACACTGGAAGAAATTCCCTTCTCTTTTCGAATAGTGCTCCGGGATCTTTATCATTCACCAGAATGGGCACAGATGGGACCTCGGTTTAGCGTCTCATCGATGGACAGATGAAGGCTGTATTTAGCCTATGTAAAAAGACAGTGGAATTTCTCTGGCAGCTCCCCCATTGACATCCCCCCCCCCACCCCCCTCCACTCTCCCCACCCACCTCACACACACAACAATAATTGGACACATTGAAGATTGAGAGGATTAACTTTCAGTCTTTAAGCTACGAGTGTGGGGTCCAGCTGGTTGCGGGCAAATGGGAGTGGGGGGGGAGGAGGGGAGTTAAGAAAGAAGGAAAAAGTCTACATAAACTTACAGACTCTCCTGGAATGGACAATCCAATGGGGCCTTGAGGACCTGGGAGACCTTGGGAACCTGGACTGCCAGGCTCTCCACGAGTACCAGGGGGACCCTGCATGTAATAATACAGAAAATAATTAGTAATAACAACAACTATTCTTGCATTTGATATATCGCCTTATCACATCGTTGATAAGGCGCTATATCAAATGCAACGACTCTAAAGCGCCTCACTGGATTTTTACTGTGTATTTTGCACACTGCAATGTCCAGCAAACAGCCACAAAGTGAATAATAATATTTGCATTTGACATAGTGTCTTATCACGTCTTCGAGACGTCTCAAAGCTCTTCACAGAATATACTGTAAAGTGAATTGACTATATATTTTGTGGGTGAAACGGGGCAGCCAATTGCGCACAGAAGTGTCCCATAAACAGTTGGATTGAGTGACCAAATCATTATTGTTATTATTTATTTAGTTAGTCAGTGTTTTTAGGAGATTATTACCCCTGGAAACACGATCTGCCAATTGACTAACAACCATTCCTACTGACTGCTGGGTAAACAGAGAGGTGTGGAGTAAGCAAACTTGCTTACGGTTTCGCCCTGCTCGGGAATCGAACCCGGATCCTCTCGTACGTGATGTGAGTGCTCTGACCACTATGCTACAGGACTCCACAGTGATATAATGACTTGTCGCATCATTGAGACATCTCAGAGTGCTTCACAGGATATACGGTAAAGTGGTTTTGACTGTGTGTATTGTGGGCAAAACTAAATTAAGACTGATGTCAAGAATCTCTACTGACCAGTGGTATCTTAAGGTTCAACGCAAAGAATGCTCACAAGGGCTGAAGCTCTGCGAGGAGCCTGACCTGGGACCTCTAATCGCCCGCTTGGCATGAGATCCACACCAAAAGGGCAAGGCCACATTAGCTGCCTACCTGTGCTCCATTGTTGCCTCTTTCTCCTCTGGGACCTTTGCTTCCGAAAGATCCCTGTCAATGAGAAACAGACATGGTCAGTTCAGAAGGAGGTCATTCAGCCCATTGTGCCAGAGCTATCACTATCTCTTGAATCTTTTTATAAGCTTCTTACTAGTCCCATTTTCCATCGCTTTCCCCAAATCCCTTGGTGTTTTTTCTTGCCTAGGTGCTTAACCGGTTCCCTTTTTGAAAGGCTCTCAAGATTGGTTTGGATGAAGAAGACCCATTGATCTCACCCCTCCAGAACACCCACCCTATCATCCCCCCCATCACTGCATCGAAATAGTGACATGGAAGGATGGCACCTCAGTGCTTTCCCTCCAGCACCACATTGGAATGTCAGCCAGTGAGTGTGGAGAGGGGATTTGAACCACGGAGGTAACAGTGCTACTGACAGAGCCAGGCTGACAGCAAAGGGTAGTTAAAAGCCATGTTCGTCCCATCTGGACAAGGTTGAGAGGAGTCTACTGTATCTGGTAGGGGCATCTGCTCACAATGTTATAATAACATAATCCTTGCATTTAGTAAATTTACACACAGCAATGTGAATTTGCGAACAGCCATGTAGTGTATGACCAATTTTATTTGGGGGATTGTTGGCCAGGGCACTGAGAGAGGGGAACTCCCTTCTCTTTTCGAACAGTGCCATGAGATCTTTAAAGCCCACCAGATCAGGCAGACAGGACCTCGGCTTAACATCTCATCCGAAGGACGACACCTCCCGACAATGAGGCGCTCTCCCACCAGCATTGTCTCAGAGTGTCAGCCTGGACTGAGTTCAAAGTCCTGCCATAAGCTTGAACCCATGGCTTTCTGCTGCAGCTGGAAGCGAGAGGCAGAGGAATCGGGGTGAGGTTAGGAGGATCCTTCCATCGAAGGGTTGTTGATGTCAGGGTGTGGAACGAGACGTGGCCACTGAAGCAGTGAAGCCGCAGGGTGTTGATCTGCCCAGATCTGCACCTGCCATTCTCATCTCATAATCATGATTCAAGTTCAGTAATTACACCCTGCCAGTGATGGATGAGTCTTCCGCCCACGAGCCCGAAGCTTTGCTGACACCTATACCCGTGAACGCAGAGAAAAATAATTATAATAAGCCTTGCATTTGATCTAGGGCCTTATCACATCGTTGTGATGTGTCAAAGCACAGAATATACTGTATTTTGTGGGCGAAACATGGCAGCCAACTGCGCACAGCAGTGTTCCGCAAACAGACGTGGATTAAGTGGCTTTATTTTGGAGGGATTATTATCCCCAGGAAGCGATCCGCCAACCGGGTTCCTACTTCTATGTGATAAAGAGAGGCGTGTGGAGTAAGAAAACTTGCCTAAGGTTTCGCCCCCCCCCAGGAATCGTGTGCGAGGAGAGTACTGTAACCACTTCACTATGGGACTCTAAGTTATTTGATACTCACCGGAGGACCCGGGGGCCCAGGGGGTCCAATGCTGTCTTGAGTGCAGGTGCAGGCATGTGGGAGGGCAGGACACTTTGCCTCAATCCTCTGTGAACGTGAACACATCTATGAGTGCTGTTGCCAGATTTAGCAATAAAATAAGTCATCCTGACATTTGATGTGCCACCATTGACAAGGTCGTACAAAACTCACCCGTACCAAACACCGCACCCCCATAACTCTGATGCTCACGAGGCTTCACTAGCTCCCACCTCCAAAAGGATTGATTTCCAGATCCGCACCCTCAGACACAAATCCCTTCACAGGCTCATACAGATCAGCTGTGATCTAATAGAGTGGCGGAACAGGCTCTAGGGGCTACATAGTCTATTACTGTTCCCATGTTCACACCCTGTCTATCTCTATTTCTCTAACCTGCTCGTACCCCACTCCTCTGCTCCTCTATTTCACATCGTTGCCACCATTGTTACAAAGCCTTCAAACTGATTCAATCCCTCCATCTCGCCCTCTCTTTATCTATTTTTAAGTCCCACCTTAAGATCTACCTCTTCAACTGCACTTATTGTCACCTCCCCCTCCCCCTCCCCGATACCATAGTGCTCTGAAACTCTATCCTACATGAAGGGTGCTGGGTAAACACAAGCTGGTGTTGATATCGCTCCTTTCATGTTGGGAGGACATCAACAAATCAACAACTTGCATTTGTATAATACCTTACACGTGGGTAGCATCTGGGAGCACTAAACTTTTTGGATGTCTTAAAGTGCTTCACAGGATATAAGGTGAAGTGCTGTGACTGTGTGTTTTGTAGGCAACAAAGTCTGGCCTCTGATGCTAGGGTGGGCTGGACGGGACACCTGGAGCAAGTCGGAGCCTGCTGAGTGGAGGGAGCAGACGGGTTTATAGGGAGTCAGCAAGTTAGAGAGATAGGAAGGGGCAAGGCTGTGGAGGGCCTTGGAAGTGAGGATGAGGATTTTGAGCTCTATCCTCTGAGGGATGGAGAGCCAGTGGAGCCGGGCGAGGGTGGGGGGGTAATGGGATCACGGAGCCTGGTGCGAGAGAGGACACGAGCTGCAGAGTTCTGGATGATCTGCAGCTTGTGGAGGAAAGAGTTGGGGAGGCCGACAAGGAGGGAGATTCCATAGTCGAGCCTTGAAATGACAAATGTGTGTATGAGGGCTGAGGCAGTGGTGGAGTCAGGCAATGGTGCGGGATGTTGCATAATCAATTAACATAATAAAGAACATCACAGAACGGGTGCAAAACATTCTACAGGGGGAAGGCGAACATCCAGAATTTGTGGTCCATGTTGGAATCCATGACACAGGGGAAAAAAAGGGCTGAGCATCAGAAGCTAGGGAAAAAGCTAAAGAGTAGGACGTCAAAGGTGGTGATCTCTGGATTACTCCCAGTGCCTCATGCAAGAGAGTATCAAAATAGCAGGATCAAACACATGAATGCACGGCTGGAGAAATGGTGCAGAAATGAGGGCTTCAGGTTCCTGGAACATTGAGACCAGTTCTGGGCAAGGTGGGACCTGTACAAGGTGAATGGGTTAGACCTGAACAGGGTTGGGACCAATGTCCTCGCAGGGCGGTTAACTAATGCTTGGGGAAGGGTTTAAACTAATTTTGAGGGGGGAAGGGAATCAGGATCTGGAATCAGAGAGGAGAAAAAACTTACACAGAGGGCTCAGAGAGATGAATAGCAATACAATAGGGAGTAGTCTAGAAAAAGGAGGGATTAGATGGGGGAGAAATGCAGAGCAGAGTCAATCGGTCTTGGAGTGTGACAAATAAGATTGGTGAGCTGCAGCCTCAAGTTGCCACATAGGGTTATGATTTATTGGCAAAAACGGAGACTTGGCTCAAGCAATGGCAGGAATGGGAGGTGAATAATCCTGGCTACCATGTATTCAGGAGGGATAGGGAAAGAAAAAAAGAGAGGGAGTGGGGTGGCAATATTGATTAAAGACACAGGGTCCAAAACAGAATCTATTTGGTTAGAGTTAAGGAGCAGAAAAGGAGCTGTTACAATGTTAAGTGAATACTGTAATAATAATCCTTGCATTTGATATAGCGCTTTTCACGTCTTCTAGACTTCTCAAAGTGCTTCACAGAGTATGCTGTAAAGTGAAGTGACTGCATATTTGTGGGCGAAATGTGGCAGCCAATTGCGCACAGCAATGTCCCACAAACAGTCGTGGATTGAAAATGACCAATTTATTGTTGTTTTGTTTTGGAGGGATTATTATTAGGCTCTGTGTGGAGTAAGGAAACTTGCCCAAGGTTTCTCCCTGCTGGGAATTGAACCCAGGTCTCTCGCTTGCAAAGCGAGTGCTCTCACCACTGAGTTACAGGACTCCACAGTGTTAAGGAGAGAGATGAGCAAATCCGCAAGCAGATTTTGGAAAGATGTGAAACCAATAGAATAGTGATAGAGGGACTTCAATTATCCTAACATAGACTGGCAGTGCAAGGAGGAGGAGGGAGGAAGGATTACTATGAAATGGGTGCAGTATAACTTTCTGGATCAGTATGTTTCCAGCCCAATAAGGATAGGAAGCAGTGCTGGATCTAGTTCTGGGGAATGAAGTGGAGCAGGTTTCAGTAGGAGAGCATCAGGACGACAGTGATCACAACAGTATTAGGTTTAGAGTCCTTATGAAAAGGGACAAGGAACAATCAAAGGTGAAGATACTCAACTGGAAGAGGGCTAATTTCAGTGAGTTAAAAAGGGACCTAGACAAGGTGGGCTGAAAAGAAAAATTGGCAGGTAAAACACCTAACGAGCAATGGGAAGCCTTCAAGGAGGAGATAATTCTGGGACAGAACAAATACATTCCCACAAAGGGGGACGGTAGAGCGTCCAAACCTCCCTGGATGAATAAGGAAATTGGGATTAAAATAAAACAGAAAAAAAGAGGCTTATGAAATCCGGAAGATAATTAAATAGAATATAGAAAATACAGAGGAGAACTGAAAAAAGAAATAAGAGGGGCAAAGAGATTGTATGAGAAAAGATTGGCAAGTAACATAAAAGGGAACCCTAAGGTATTTTATAAGCATATAAAGAATAAAAGGTTAGTCAAAGGTAGAGTGGGTCCAATTAGGGACCAAAGAGGAAATCTTGTTGAGGCAGTGGACATGAATGACATACGGAATGAGTACTTTGCATCTGTCTTCACAAAAGAAGAGAATGCAGCCAATGCCACAGTATCAGAGGAGAGGGGAGAAATTGGATAAGATAAGAATAAACCAAGAGGAGATACTAAAAAGGTTTGTCGGTGTTCAAGGTAGATAAGTCATCTGGTCCGGACGAGATGCATCCTAGGTTACTGAGGGAAGTAAGGGTGGAAATACCGGAGGCTCTGGCCACAATCCATCAATCCTCCTTGGACACCGGGGTTGGTGCCAGAGGACTGGAAAGTTGCAAATGTTACTCCCCTGTACAAAAAGGGGCAGAAAGGTAAACCCAGGAACGATGTCAGCCCTACGTCAGTAGTGGGAAAACTTCTAGAGACTATAATCCGGGAGAAAATAAAATTTCACTTAGAAAAATATGACTTGATAAAGGACAGTCAACACGGATTTGTTAAAGGCAAATTGTGTCTAACAAACCTGATATTTTTTTGATGAAGTAATGGAGAGGGTGGATGAAGGTAATGCAGTTGATGTAGTTTATATGTATTTTCAAAAGGCGTTTGATAAAGTGCTACATAAGAGACTTGTAAGCAAAGTAGAAACCCATGGTATTGAAGGAACAGTGACAGCATAGATACAGAACTGGCGGGGAGACAGAAAGTAGAGAGTGGTGAACGGTTGTCTTTCTGACTGGAGGGAAGTGTGCAGTGGTGTCCCCCGGGGGTCAGTATTGGGGCCACTGGTGTTTTTGATCTATATAAATGACCTGGACTTGGGTATAGGGAGTACAATCTCCAACTTTGCCGATGATACTAAATTAGGAAAAGTAGTAAACAGTGAGGAAGATAGTAACCGACTGCAAATGGCCATAGACAGACTGGTAACACGGGCAGACACGTGGCAGATGAAGTTTAATGTGGAGAAATGTGAATGATGCATTTTGGGAGGAAGAATGAGGCAATATAAGCTGATGGTACAATCCTAAAGGGGTGAAGGAACAGAGAGACCTGAGGGTTCATATCAGTAAGTCTGGCAGGACAGGAAGATAAAGCTGTGAAAAACATAGGGATACTGGGCTTTATAAATAGGGCATAGAACACAAACATTTCAAAGAGGAAGTTATGATGAACCTTTATATAAAACACTGGTTAGGCCTCAGCGAGAGACTGTGATCAGTTCTGGGCCCCACACTTTAGGATTGATGTCAAGGCATTGGAGAGGGTACAAAGGAGATTTACCAGGACGGTACCAGGAATGAGGGACTTCAGTTATCAGGAGAGGCCGGAGAAGAGAAGGTTAAGAGGAGACTTAATAGAAGTTTTCAAAATTATGAGGGTTTCCCTTATGAGGGTGAAAAAGGAGAAACCGAGGACACCAATTTAAATAGTTGAAAAAAGAAAGAGGTGAGGTGAAGGGAAATGTTTTCGCACAGTGAGTTCAGATCTGGAATGCATTACCTGAAAGGGTGTTGGAAGCCAATCTGATAACAACTTTTAAGAGAGAAGTAGATAATTATTTTGGGAGGACGTTTGCAGGGCTATGGGGAGAGTGCGTGGCAGTGGGATTGATTTGGATAACTCTTTTAAATATACATAATAATGCAGACATAATGAGCCAAATGATTCTATCAGTGGGAAGAATCCCTGACTCCAGTGACTGATCTGCCCCTTCAAGTCCTGCCGATGAGGCAGGGTGGCTGTGCTCTCGTCAGCAGTGCCCTGGAATACTGCTGGAATCCAAATTGAGCTTGGAGTTGTTCTACAGTTCCGCTTCAATGACACCCCACTCACCTCTCCCTGTGACCACCCCTCCCCCCCCACACACACACACAAGGAAGGAGCACTCCCCCTCGATACCTTCAGTCTCCTCTATGCCTCTGCAACCCCACCCATTTGGCCGGTGAAGGAAGAAACTCACCATGGATGGAAGGTCACAGCACTGGTCTCGAATGGCCCAGCCCAGGCTGCAGATGATATCAAAGCTCTGGAGCTGAAACTGAGGAGCAAAGAGAAGAAGGTTGATGTCAGTAACAAGAATTGGCCCTTGAGCACTGCCCAGCACCAGCACAGGGACTGGACTGGCCTCAATATAGCCCAATGCACATTTACATTGATACAGTATCTTTCACATCTATAGGATGTCCCATGGCACTTAAAAAAGATGACTGGGATCACAAGCTGGGAGTGAGAGCCAAGGGGGATGGAGGGGTAGTCTCGTTATAGGGGTAGGTCTTGAGACTGACTTTGAGCGAGGGGAGGGAGAGAGTGAGTTGGAGGGAATCTAAGATGGAGTTCCAGAAAGTGGGAGACTCAACACCATGTCTCCGTTCTGCAAATTTTGTCTGCGTGTGGGCAATGGGGGCGCAATGGGGGGTAGATACTGTGGTGTGTGAAACTCCATATAGCACAGTGCTAATAAATGTAGTCACCAAGACCGGTCAGTAACTAAAGACTGGACTAGGTCATCAAACAGCACGGTTGACTGCATTTCTGAAAATGTGATAAATTAGTACAGCACACAACGCAATTTACCAACTTGTGGCTCCGTCACTTACTGTAGCTGATCTGCCCTTGGCTCCCTGGGACTTGACCAGCTTTCCAAAGATCTCAAAGCCGTCGGTGCTGATGTTTCCGTGTGGGTTTGCCGGCTTCTCTTCAACTTCCTGGCAGTCGACAATCAGCTTCACGCTGTCTTGGTTCACCAGGAGATGGACCTGCGCACAGAGGTGGAAGGTGAAAGGGTTAATAACAGTCAGCAATTGGAGACACGAGTGAGACCTTTTCACAACCAGTAAGAGTCTCATTCTGACGACTGACAATAATAAGTCTGTGTCGACTCTAAAAGGGCAATCCTTTCAGACCCATTTACCTGCCCTTTCGCCCTATTATCCTGATAGCTTTCTCCTTTTTATATATCTATCTAGTTTGTTTTTGAAAGCTAATTTAGATTCTGCCTCAACCACAGCTCCCGGCAGGACATTTCCATATCCTAACCCACTCTGCGTGTGAAAAAAAAACTCCTAACCTCTCATTTGCTAACTATTGTAAATTGTTGCCCTCCAGTCACTGACTCACCAATTTCCACGAACAGTGGAAATAATTTGTCCCTATTGACTCGATCAAAGACCCTCATCATTTTAAAGATCTCTATCAGGGCTTCTCATGTTGGGCATCACTTCACAATGCTGTGAAGTGTATTTTGTAGGCAAACATAATTTACCCATGACAAGCACGAAGTAAGCAACCGATTTATTCAGAGGATTGCTGGCCAGGACACCAGCAGAAAGAAATCCCCTTCTCCTTTCCAATGAGACACTGAGAAAGTAAAACCCAGAACAGTATAATTTTTTTGGTTTACTTATGTTTACTTATATTACTCACCTTTCACATTGGGAGGATGTCCCAAGGTACTGGACAATCAAGGGTTTGCAAGTGGGAGAATGGCCAAAGGCATTGTCAAAGAGTAAGATCATGAGATGGAAATACATTGTTAGATCTGTTGAGGGTCAGGTTGCAAAGGGAAATTTCAGGACAAACACCAGGAAATATTTCTTTAACTAGCGGGTAATTAACAAAAGCGCCTTCTGGAAAGGGTGGTTGAGGTCAGAACACAGGGACCGATAGAATCATAGGATTATACAGCACAGAAGGAGGCCATTTGACCCATCATGTCTGTGCCGGCTCTTTGAAAAGAGCTATCCAATTCAATCCCACTCCTACACGCTCTCCCAATGGCCCTGCAAAATTTCTCCTCATCTGTTTCTTTTAACAACTATTTTAAATCGGTGTCCTCGGGTTACCGACCCATCCACCAGTGGAAATAGTTTCTCCTTGTTTAACCTTATCAATTCCCCTCATAATTTTGAAAACTTCTATTAAGTCTCCTCTAAACTTCTCTGCTCCAAGGAGGATATTACTAGCTTCTCCAGCCTCTCCAGATAACTGAAGTCCCTCATTCCTGGTACCATCCTGGTTAGTCTCCTTTGCACCCTCCCCAATGCCTTGACATCCTTCCTAAAGTGCTGTGCCCAGAATTGAACACCATCTGTAGCTGAGGCCTAACCAGTGTTTTATAGAGGTTCATCATAACTTCCTGACTTTTGTCCATTTTTTTATGTCCATTTGCAGTCTGCTACTATCCTCCTCACTGTTTACTACTTTTCCTAGCTCAAACTTGGAGATTGTGCTCTCTATACCCATGTCTAGGTCACCTGTATGGATCAAAAACAGCAGTGGCTCCAACACTGACCCCTGGGGGACACCACTTCCCTCCAGTCAGAAAAACCACCATTCACCACCACTCTCTTCTCTCTGTATCCCAGCCAGTTCTGTATCCATGCTTCCACTGTCCCTTTAATACTGAGGGCTTCTAATTTGCTTACAAGTTCTCTCATGTGGCACTTTATCAAATGCCTTTTGAAAATCCATATAAACTACATCAACTGCACTACCTTCATCCACCCTCTCCGTTACTTCATCAAAAAACTAGTCACATTCTGCCAACTTGAGAAGGACCCGTTAATCTCTACTCTCCATTTTCTTCCTGTTAGCCACTCTCCAATCCATACAATATATTACCTTTAATTCCATGAGCTTGAATCTTATGCAATAGCCTTTTATGTGGCACCTTGTCGAATGCCTTCTGAAAATCCAAGTACACCACATCTATTGGATCCTCCTATCTATGATTTTCTAAGTACTCCACGACAACCCTAATTAAGGACTCTAGAATTTTCTCTACCACCAATGTCAGACTAACTTGTCTATAGTTCCCCATTTTTTGTCTCCCACCCTTCTTAAATTCGGCGTTACATTTGCGATCTTCCAATCAATGGGAACTATTCCAAAATCCAGGAAAGCATCCACTATCTCTGCAGCCACCTCTTCTAAAACCCTAGGATGCAGGCCACCAAGTCCAGGGGATTTATCGGTTTTTAATCCTATCAATTTCTCTAGTACTATTGCTTTACTGATGTTCATTTCTTTAAGTTCCTCACTAACATTAGCTTCCAGGTTCCCCTCTATTTTCAGTAAGTTAACCCTTCTTTTTAAGTGAAAATTTATTTTGTCCCGTATTATAGTCTCCAGAAATTTCCTCACTACTGACTTCAGGCTGTCTGTCCTGTAGTTCCTGGGTTAATCCTTCTGCCCCTTTTTGTACAGGGGAGTAATATTTGCAACCCTCCAGTCTTCTGGAACCACCCCGGTATCCAAAGAGGATTGAAAGATAGTGGCCAAAGCCTCTTTTATTTCCACCTGTACTTCCCTCAGTAGGGTGCATCCCGTCCTGACCGGGTGACTTATCTACCTTGAGCACTATCAATCTTTTTAGTACCCCTCTCAGTTTATTCTTATCTTATCCAATTTCTCTACCCTCTCCTCCGATACTCCTTGCCACCCCCATAGAGTATGCATTGGAGTAACGTTGGAGTGTAACCAGCTAAAACCGCTTAGCTGGCTATTCAGAGCACTGTCTGGCAAGTTTTTCCACTCCTTGTCAAGCTGGGACCACCCCACTCAACAGGGCTATGGCTTGCAGGGTTAACAGGAGCTGAGTGGGAAGATTGCCTACCCCTAGTCTGCCCTTCCGAATCCTGCTGACGAGCCAGGTTAACTGGTGTGCAACCAACAGTGCCCTCGAATACTTCAGACCTGCTTGGCTCAGGATTCATAACTAGCGTGGAGTCCTGTAGCTCAGTGGTTAGAGCACTCGCCTTGCAAGCGAGACACCTGGGTTCAATTCCAGGCAGAGGGCGAAACCTTGGGCAAGTTTCCTTACTCCACACACGTAATAATAATCCCTCCATAACAAGAAACTATAACAATAAATCGATCATTTTCAATCCACGACTGTTTGTGGGACATTGCTGTGCGCAATTGGCTGCCGTGTTTCGCCCACAAATATACGGTCAATTCACTTTACAGCGTATTCTGTGAAGCGCTTTGAGACGTCTAGCGTGAAAAGCGCAATATCAAATGTAAGGATTATTATTATTAAGCACGATAAGTGGAGTGAAGATATTATTTTAACAGCATGTTAGATGGAAGCGACTGGGCTGGAGTACATCGACTACGTAATGGAGTAATGGCTTCAGTCTGGACAAAAGGAACTCACTCCTCATCTTCACAATTGCTCTGCAATGGTTTACAGTGCCGGCACATAAATCCTTTGAGATTCCTTCCAACTGCGTTACTCAATGATTCCCAGCGGCTCGTTAAACTCTCGCACTTATCTGCGCAGTGCTCAGCCCTCACCCAACTGGGCACACGTTAACAAGTGCCGACAGAGACAGAGAATTCTAACCAGCATAAGGAATTGCTCATAAAACGTTACCAAATGATGCCCTTCATCCCCTTTCCTACACCCCATCTCCCCAAACTACGTTTGAGAGGCCTCACATTGGAGTGTAAAGACTGTTCAGCACCTTGGGACTTCCTCCTGACGTGAAAGACGTTCTACAAATATAATTTGTTGTTGTTGATTTCCTTATGGTATTTTACCATGTTAAGACATCTGAAAGTGCCTCACTGGGATTATTGCCAACCGTAGTGACTTTTTTTTTTGCACACGTGTGCAGTACTTTTTAAGGTGAAGTGGTCTCAGGGGTATTTCTAGGTTTGAAGCCCCATCTGATATTGACAAAGTGAAACAGATCTTCAATCGCACTGACTTCTTGGCTTCCAGAGCGCATCTGTTAGCACTCGATGGCTGTTATGAAACTTAAATGCTGTGATTAGGCATCCAGAGGCTTGTGTGCTCTGCTCATCAAACACAGTAACTAGCTTTAAATCCAGAAAGCTGCTCAGCTCCAAGAGGGGAGTAACCAGGCTGCTCCTCAGCGAGAGATGAATGAGCGGTGTGGAATTCCTAGGTAACGTATAATGTTACCGGGGATGGTACCGGGTTAAGTCTTGAAGAGGGACTTGAGAAGTTGGGGCTTTTTAAATGCTGCCACATTCACCCACACAAACAGAGTCACTACATTTTACAGTGTATCCTGTGCTCTGAGAGAACCTCCTGACGTAAAAGGCGCTGTACACGAAATGTAAGGATTATTATTTGGGAAGGTTCGAGGGGTGACCTGATAGAGGTCTTCGTGATTGTGAAAGGCTGCAATCAGGCAAACAGTGAGGGATTATCTCCCCTGATCAGAGAGTCAGCCTTGCGAGGGGCACAGGTTAAAGATCAACACGGAGAGAATTAAAGGGGGGGCAGAAACAACCTCCTCCACACACAGCGCAGCAGGAGTATGGAATTCTCTGCCTCAAACCGGAGTTGAGGCAGAGTCGGTCAATTTGTTTAAAAGGAATTGGATAGCCGAGGTCGGTCGGTAGTCCTCTCACCTCTGAATCTGGAGGCTGTGTGTTTAAGACCCACATTGGGATTTCGAATAGTAAGTCTAAGCTGACACTCCAACGCAGTACTAGGGGTGTGCTACATTGTCAGAGGTGCCGTCTTTCGGATGAGAGGTTAAATCCGAGGTCCCGCCTACCTGTTCAGGTGGAAGTGAAAGATCCCACGGTGCTATTCGAAAAGAGAAGGGACTTCCTCTCGGTGCTCCGATCAACAATCAACCTGATTAAATTGTTTGTTCACTTTGTGGGACATTACTCTATGCAAATTAGCTGCCGCATTCACCCATAAAATACACTCAAGGCATACAACAACAACAAGATTGCATTTGTAGAGCGCCTTTCACGTCGGGAGGACGTC